TTTTCTATCGATCAAATCCAGATAATTTAACGTTTTAAACACATTTTAGCTATATTTTTAACGTCTCCCCAAATTGGGTAACGTCTATAAAAAATGAATAAAAATTTCCTTTTCTTTTTTAATTTTTTCTGTAAAAAAAGCGAAACCCCTTCTTTTTTCTCCCCAAAAATTCCGCGTGGCGCTAATGCGGATCCGCAGCGAGATGACATCACCGCCCGGCTTTTCCTCGGCTTCTCTTCTTCTTGTTCTTCTAGGCTTCTTCTCCCCGCTTCTTCCTTCTTTTCCTTCCCCCCTAAAGGGTGCCGACCCGACCCGGGGGGCCCGGGTGGGGTCCCGGGCTAGGCTAACGATTTTCGGCCAGGCTAGCCGAGGCCCAGGGCCCTCCCACCCAACACATACACACACCACTCTCTCTCTCTCTCTCTCTCTCTCTCTCTCTCTCTCTCTCTCTCTCCTCCCTCTCCACAATTATTGGAAATCATTGGAAAGGAGAAGGAGAGAGCGGTGAGGGGGTTGTTAGAGATCACAATGAGAGTAGAGAGGCCAGAGAAGGGCCCAGGGGAGCAGAGACATCTCTGGTCCCTCCCCCCTCTCCCCACTCTCTCCCCCTGCCCCTCCTTCGCGAGACCGCGACGCCCGGCCGCACCCCGTCAGAGCCCCCGGCCGGCCGGAAGACTCGACGATCCCCCCCCTTCCCCCGCTTCAGCTCTCCTCCCCTTCCCCCTTCTTCTTCCCATTCATCGGACTGTCTCCAGGATTCTACAGCCAGCTCTTCACAATCCCTGGCCCGACGCCAGCCACACGGTAGCGATCGGGTTATTAGGCGGACGGAGCACGGGTTTACGCCCTTTCACGGCAGTTGGTGCCTTTTAGAAATCACGCCCTAACATTAATAATAGACTGCAAAACAGGCTTTTTCCTGTATATAACGCCATTCCCTTTTGAAATATATACTTTTTTTGGAAGGCGTTAAATACAGGATAGCGCGAACGAGCGGTAGATACGGGTTGCCTTACGCCAGGTCTTTACTCCAAAGCTAATTATAGCGACAATTCGTTACGCCGATTTTCAATACGTCGACGATATGCTACAATTATTCCGTATTCGACGGCCCCAAAAAAAAGTCTAAAACAAGCGCCCACCTAACTTTTCACCCGGTATCCGTGACGCCCCAAAATTGCACCAGAATTGGTGTAGGACCCGAAATAACACCGATTCTGACTTACAGCCCGATTGTTAGAGTAGTGTGATTGCAACAAAATATTTCGTTTTTCGGCAATTTTCAGCGTTTTTGCTGCATAGTTTCGGGCTTTGCATCGATTTCCGGCTGCGAATCCCCGCGTCAGTTTCAGGTCCTACGCGCTTTTGTGTTCAAAACTGATCGCAATCAACCCATTTTTTTTAGTCAGGCAAAAATTACTGGGTAAAAAAGGCTTGACGCTTCATTTTCGCTTGATATTTATAGGGTTGATTCTCCTGAGAATACACTAAAAAAATGGAAGCGAAAGCGAAAGTTTGTTTTTGTTATTACACGAAAAATACGTTAGCTAGTGGGTTATAAGTAAGGATGGTTGTTAATAAGGGTCCGATACATTTTTGGTGCAATTTTGGGAATGACCGGATGTAAGGCCGCTAAATCCCAAAGCTTCTTTGGGAAAACCGGCATGATCGCCAGATGAAATTAGCTTTTTCAGCGTAATGAATTGTCGGCCGAGTTATTTTCGGCGTTATGACTGCACTATAACGATGTAATCACCCAATTTCCAGCCAAAGACGCTCGACACCGCGCGCGGGGCCAACACGACAAAAGCTGGGAAGACGCGCGCGAGGGTGCAGCCGGAAATACACACGCGTTGACAGGGCGGCCGGGATACTGGATGCGGCAGTGTGGGAGTGGCCCGAGTGCCCACGAGGAGATCTCTGCCTCCCATACATAGCCATTCTCCTGTAAAAAAGGGCCAACGAGACCCCGGCGCGCCCGCCACCACGGCGCCCCCAAGCGCCCATCCCACGGCCACCACCACGCTCGGCAAGGTAACGCTTATTCCTTACTTTTATCGGTCTTTTCTTAGCTTTCTGGCCCTAAAAATGATTTTAACATTTTTTTAAACGTCTAAAGCCTTGAATTCTTTATGTTAAAGTTGGTAAGCTCTTTTTACGTCTAAAACGTTGGATTCTTTACGTTAAAGTTAGCAAGCCATTTTTAAACGTCTAAAACGGTCAATTCTTTAGTTTAAAGTTAATAAGATATCTTTCGACTTTGTAGGGGTTATTGCTAAACTAATATAGCTTTATAAATCTAATTATAACGCCAGATTCGATCATTGAAATAGTTGTTAAAGCTCTAAAACGCTGAATTTTATATGCTAAAGTTTCTAGAATATCACCTCGTTTTTGAGAAATTTCCAGAAAACCAATAACTTTTCCAATAGAGTTTATAACGATAGTTTAGATTTGATTCACGAAACTAATAACCGAAAAGTTGCACTTTAATAGACGCTTATTCGCTTATTTTGAAAACTTTACAAACCTAAATTTTGTAGTAATTGATGAATTTGCGACATCAAGTTTGCAAAAACGCGCTTGTAGAGTTTTTAGGTATCCAAACTATAAACTACAAGCTACATCCACTGACTTTTTGCAGTTAAAAACCTATATAATTTACCTGTTCAGCTCGATGCGCTGTGTGGTCGGCTCCTGGAATCGGCGCAGCTGCGGACACACAAATACTTTCGAGTCGCCGTCCCGCACGCCCTCACCGGGCAGAGTCTTGTAAGTTTTGTTTTATTAAAAACATTACTTTTAAAAGATTTTATGTATCCATAACGTTAACGTAATGACGAACGTAACGTGTAACTATGAAAATTCGTGTAGAAAACCTTCACTTTAGAAAAATTCGTTCGCAAATTTGGCTTAGTTTTTTTATTTTTATCAAAATCCAAAGTAGTGCGTGAAAAGCTTTATAAGTTTTTGCAAAATAAAGGAAAACGTGGGCTATTCCTTTTCTTTCGAGGTATATTCTTTTATTTATTCTCTTGTTTTCAGGTGGCTCTCGTCGGCGAGAAGGGGCATGCCGATGATGAAGTAGAGGCCACCCATCTGGCCACCCTCCTCCTCCAATACGGATATTTGTTCCCGGTGATTGAGCCACAATCTCAGGTTTGTATCTTAATCATTTGAGCTTTTATGATTTTTATCAAGGTAATCATGGTCGATTTAGCGTCTCTTATATACAGGAATCTTGTAGAAACATGAAAAATCTTTTTGGAAACGTGTAGAATAGTTCTAAAATGTTGAAATTTCTATTTTCACTACGAAATGAAGCTTTTCCGATCTGTTATATATCGTTTAAATTTCCCCTAAATTTCCTTTTTTTGTTCTCTATAGATAAATTCAACACAATTTCACTGAAATCCTGTTAATGAACTGTTCATGTTGCCAATTTCAAGTTTTCTATCCTTCCAAAATCATAATCCACGTTTTCAGTTCCAAGTTCGAGATGACGGCACCCTCTACCGGTTACAACGGCCGTACTTTTGGCCCTCCCACGCCGCCCAGACGGATAACGTCGAATATGGTGAGTCGCACTCAATTTATCTATCCTGCTCCTCTACATCCATTTTATTTACGTCTTCCTTTGCTTTTGCATTTTCCAAACCCTGCGACCCAGTGACAATTGTCGATTTTTGGGGGGCTCCCCCCGTTGGTGCCCGTGTCGTGTCCCCAGCCGGCTTGGAAGGGGCCAAAAATCGATGGTGGGCCCCTCGGCCGCTTCCTCCCCCTTTATAGTTTGTCGACCCGGACGGGGGGGGAAACCGTTGAGAGGATCTGGTTCTGGTATTAAAAAAAATAAGCAGGAAAGTAAAAGCTAGCCAGAAAATCAGAGGTGTTTTAGTGAATTGGACAAAATTAAGGAGTCTTTTTCGAGGAATTTTTAAAATTCAGCAGATACGTAGGAACGCTTTGCGCCTTTTGCTGGCGATTCCGGTACTTTGGCGTTATCAGGGAGGACTTTTTCCTTAGCCTCCAAATTTTCTAATATTACTTTTTTACTACTAAAAATAATCAATCAATTTTAAAATCAATTTTTTAATTTAAAATCAATTTTAGGCCAAAAAATACTAATTTGACCATCGACCAAAATTAAAATTTTTAGACGATTTTCTAGGTATTTCTTTTTTTAGATAGGTTTTTTGAAAGATGATTACATTTTATTATGACCCGATGAAAATGCTTTATTTTGATTTAATAGGTGTATCTGGCTGTATAATCCCCCCCGCTCCCCCCCCCGATAGCGCAAAAGCACCCCCCATATTTCCTGCAACTTTGTTCGAAGCTTTTTCTCAATTTTCGAACTATTATGGGCAGCAACGCTTTGGCCAACTTTTCCAGTTTTTACATCCGCTTTTTTTTCTGGCGACGCGCCAACACGCTGCACGGAGGGGGAACACAAACACCTTGCCGCAGCTCGATATGTATCGGATTAGAGGGGGGAAGCGCCAGATTACCGCCCCCGGATTTCATTCATAAAATAGCACCGACACGACGATCCCCCCAAGGGACCGGCAGAATTAACGCGTAAACGAGGGGGCCCGCCAGCCCGATAAGCCGTGTCGCCGGCAGGTACTTTTATAGTGTTGATAGCGCGAAATTATGGCCGAAGAATTTTGGTTGGAGAATCCACATTAAAAATCGGGATGAATAAATAAAGCTAACGCCCCAAATATATAAATTTTGCAAAGTTAAAATAGGTTCTTTGGTATTAACGGGGGGGGGGGTGAATTTTTCTACAAGTACACCCAGCCTAGGACCGTAATTTAAAGCATTTTATTAGTTTTTGCACATTTTACTACATTTTAAATAACTTTTAGCTTTTGAAAAACGTGTAATTTGTTCGAAAATCGACCATTTTTGCCGAAAACATCGATATTTTTACAATTGGAGCCAAAATTCGGAGAGCGTTGGGTTCAGGAACAGTAAAAACACTAGCTCTATTCATAGCCCCCTCCCACCCCCGCTAACGAAAAAGTGCCATAAAAATCGCATAACCAAAAGAAATAATTTTTAATAAACATAACGTTGAATTTGAACTTCTTTATACTTCTTTATTCTTTTGGGGGGCTTTTTTCCGGAAATTCCGCGAGATTTCGGTTCCTCAAGACCAAAACCTGGCTTGGAATGGCCTATATAAATTTTAAAACGGGCGGTGGAACACGATTTTTTTGGCCCAAAGTTAATTCTTAGAGACTTTTCTCGTGAAATTCCACGAGATTTTGATTCTCCCAGATGAAATGCGGGCCGTGAATGGGCCCTCCTCCTCGGGTCTGTTAGACAGTACGGGTTCGATTCCCCTGGGTGGGCTTGTTGACCGTACACACCCTCGCAAAAGCCGTATTGACGTCAGAGAAGACGGGTGCCCATCCACCTATCCATCCCCTTCTCGATCCCATTTCAACCACACACACTTCTCAATGAATGCCCCCCCCCGGCTCGCCGATCGAAAAACGGGGGATTAGCGCCCTGGAAAAAAATAGAAAAAGAAGCCTAAACAATTGTGCAACTTTTCAGCAATCTACCTGAACAAGCGATTGTTACGAAACGAGCAACGGCACGGGTTAGAAGAGGATGAGGTGAGCAACAGCGCATTTTGGTGTTTACAAAAAGGAGCGAATAGAAGAACCCTATTAAAATAACTTTTCCTATAATTTTAGAGATAGGGAACGTCACAAAAGTTGATACGCTTTTCTGTCAAAATTTAGCTATATTTCAGGTTGAAAACAATTTTGAAAACTTACAAAATGCTATAAAATATCCATTTTATTATTTATCGAAAAATGTTAGTTTTTTTTCAAAAATCTACAAATAGAAAAAACTTCTAATGTACAGAAATCAACTATTTTTTCCAGATCGAGGCCTACAACAAACTCGCCGAGCTTCTCGCCCACATGTGGGGCTTCATCACCGCCCAGGCCGAGCTCCAGCTCAAGCAACAAAAAGAGAAAAAGAAGGCCGACAAGGTGAGGAACTCTCGAAAATCTCGAAAACCCTAAACAATTATGAAAAAAAAAACCTAAAACATATACCTTATTTAGGTGGTCTACGACAGCGAGGAGAGGGCATTCTGGAGGATACGACGGCCGGGGACGGCTAACTGCCTCGAGCAGCACGTCCAAAAAGTCGAAAAGCGGTTGCGGAAAGCGACGGCTGCCGGATATCGGAGTATCGTGGAACGGTTGAAATTTTCAATAAAGACGAAACCGTGGCTGAAGGCGCCCAAGGCTTCTGGGGAGTGAGTTTTACACTTTTATATTAAAAATTTGGATTAAAGAGGTTTTTTTATAGTAAAATTTATAACTCCCTCACTTCAGCATGGTCAAATGGGTTGAAAATCTGCACGATCACGACCCGCTCCTCGCCTCCTCACAACAGATCAGCAACCCGTGGATTACGGACGAGACGACACTGTGGACGTTGAATACGGACGCGTAAGAACATTCTTATTAATTTCTTATTCGCGTTATTATTCACGAAATCACTTACTTTTAATATCATAATTCTAGCGTCGAAGTGCCAACCGAGCGGAGAGTGAAAAGATGGGGAATCTCGGTGCAAGAGCTCGTCAAGGATCCGATTGGCAGACAGGTAATCGCACTAAAAATCAATAAACTCAGACAATTCTTGTTTTTTAGCAACTAATTTTGTTAGTATAAGTATAGGAAGTGTTTCTTCACTATTTTTAACTATTCCTAAACGCAAAAACATTCAAAATTTGATAAAAATACTAAAATATAGATTTTTCGACTTAAATTTCACTGTTTCTACCTTTTCAAAGTTTTCTAAATAGTTTTCCTTTAGCAATAAAGCTAAATTTTACAAAAACATCTGAAATTCCGTTTCCCGATCCCGGAACCGACAAAAAAAACCCCAAATAATCACAATTTCTAGGTGCTGGAAACGTTCCTGGAAAGCGAGTTCTCCTCCGAGAACATCCGCTTCTGGATCGCCATCCAAGATCTCAAATATTCGACGAATGCCGAGATCGAGCCGAAAGCCGAGCGGATCTACGAGGAGTTCCTAGGCCCCGGCGCGCCCTGCCAAGTCAATGTCGATTCGCGGACATTGGAGCGGACGATGGATCTGTTGAATGCGGGGAATCCGCGGCGGCACGCGTTCACGCATGCTGAGGAGCACGTGTTCACGTTGATGAGCAAGGATTCGTATCCACGATTTGTGAAATCGGCTATATACAAGGTATGTGGGAAAATGTATAAATCCGAAATCGGTGCTTATGCATTAACGGGGTCCTTTTGCCAAGGATCAAAATTTTTTTAATCAATTTAAGAACTATTTCGACACTGTTTTTACTATTTTTACTATTTCCAAACGCAAAAACGTTACAAAATACAAAAATATCGATTTTTCGACTAAAATTTCCGATTTTAAACTTTTTAAAGCGGTTTGCCGTTTGAAATATAGTTAAATTCCACTAAAAAAACTATCAAAAAGTTTTATATTACGTTACTAGGCATATTGCGAATGTTGAATGATCGGCTAAAATTGCCCCCCCCCCTGATAAAGCAAAAGCACCCCTAGATCGCACGTAAAACTGTCAAGGACGAATTGATACTTTTCAGGGCGTGCTCACGGCAGCCCAGCAACAAGGTTCAAAGCGGGTAGGCTGGCGTAATTTCATCTTCAACATGGGAGCGACCAAGAAGCCGCTAGGTGAGCATCATCAAACACTAAATAATAATAATATTCTCACCCCCGATCATCTGGATGCTTTTTAACCAAGCACAAATTGACATTAATTTAGGCAGCTTTTTAGCAAGCGAAGAAGTTAGACATGAAAACATAGCCAATTCTAGTAAGATATAACTTTTTCAGGGTTAGAAAAGTTCAAAATAGCTAGCTACATGGGCTGTAAATTGCATTCGGGCTATAGCCTATCTTGGGCAGAATTTTTCGCTGATTCCGCATGAAGGCTCTGAAAAATATTCTGAACTTTAAAAGCTGATATTTTGGGCCAATTCAAAACAAAAAACCACTGTAACTTTTAAATTTTCAAAAACATGTTGCTCGAAATCAGTGAAAAACTCTAGACAAGGTATCCGAGGTCCCGAATGGCTTTTCTAACCTGTGTAAAAGCATATTACTGTAAGGGCTAGTTTTTATAGAAGTTTTATACTAGATGCCCGCTTAATAATTACAACTATCGCTTTAGATTCTACAAAAACCATAAAATAAAAGATCTATAGCTTTAGAATCTCCAAAAACCGTAAAATAAAGGATCTAAAGCTTATAATAATCTTTTTTTTATTTAAACTCTAGCATAGCCCTATTCAAAATAGCGGCAAAATTCTCAACCCTCAATCAGCTGCAGCCGCTGCTAAAACGCATGTCGCCGAAAGAGCTCACGTTCCATTACTAACACTCGTTTTCCGCGTCGGCTGCAGACCTGGGACTCTTCAGGCAGCAGGCAACACAAGACGAGTCGGGATGATAGCCATCATCAACAGCTGCCCAAGCAGCTCTCTTCCGATTCCCTACCCGTCGCCAAAACTCATCATAACAGGTAAAAAAATAATCGATATATAATTAATTAATAAATAACGATCACAAACCGGGGCCAGAAACCAAATCACGCTTTTTTTACTAGCTTTTTATAACATTTTTTTGAAAACAAATTCAGCACACTCATCGAATTACGGGTTCTGGTTCGTTAGCGGGGGGACTAACTTCCTTGCAACTTGACCATTATTTTAATATAGCCATTTTCATAGTTTTTAGTCGCTTCAAATCATAAAAAATTTACAAAATCACAGTCTAAACATTCAAAATTTCTGAAATGTTTATCAAGTTCGAATTTATCGAAAATTTTACGCTGTTTGTTAATATTTTATAGCGAAAAAAGCATAAAGTGTCTATAGTTCGGCGCCTACGGGACAGCCACCCCCCCCGATAACGAACCAGAACCCAAATTAGTACTAGCATCATCATACTACTGTGATTTTGGGTGCTTGCCAATTTTCAATTTTTTATTGAAACTAGTCACAAATTAATTGAAACGAATGGAATTAACATTGAGATCGATAAAATAAAGCAAATCTAGTAGGTAAGGAAACCAGAAAGAGAGAATAATAAAACCAACGATAACTATTTATTCACGGGGCGGGGGAGGATCAGAAAAAATTTGCCTGAAAGGCGACACGTTTTAAAACAGTATAACATTTAGACTGGAACCGCCCTCAGAATGACCATACGGGTGCTGGGCACTTGGTGCCACCTCCATTGCTACTGCCGAGCAGCAGCAGCGGCAGTCCCGGCAGCCATCGAGCCAGTTTCCGCGGCGTCCATGGGCCCTGACTCGAGCATCGTAGCGCAGCGGAATTGGAGTCGCAGGAATGCTATCTAAAAATTTAAATATAGGTCTGATTGTCCAGTGGATCGAAAAGTTAAATTTTAAATTACAAAAAACTGCGATAAATTAAAACTAATTTAATTAAATTAAAATCCCACTTCAATAATGGCCCCATCGTGAATTCTGGTGCTTTCTCCGGTCAAAAGAGCGCGGGAATCGACGACCATCGGTCGCTGGCCAATACATTGTAGCCACCAACCATCCGATCGGCGCTCGAGCACTGCCTAAATTAAATTATTTTTACAAAAAAACAACAAAACATACCTGTTTGCGTGAAATTTTGAGCGCTGGTCCTTCTAGCGCTAGGTTGACGTCGATTTGCGCTTCAGCCGTGCTCCTAGTGTGATTATTATTTTTGAAAAGTGGAAAATTCTAACCTTCCAAGGGTTACTTTTTCCGATTTAATATTATAACGCGTGACGCGCCCATTCAGCCGCGCGTAGACACCCTTTTCAAAACGGTCTGGTCGGCAAATGCCAGTAACCGGAAGCGGGGACACTTTTGACCACATCCTCAGCGCCGTGTCGCGTGCCACAATTTGGGAGGTGACTCGGACCAAAACCTAAAAAAAAATGTAAATTAACAAAAATCGTTTAACCTCATCCACTGGGCCATCGGAGACCGCATTAAACGTATTCTCAATTTTCTCCAGTCCACATTGTCGCTCACGGTCTCGATTTGTGGTGTCCAGCAGTCCGTACCTATAAAAAAAACACCCGTTCCATTCTGCGGTCTAGTCAATCCAAGTCATCTGCTCCCATCATTATAGGCCCAATTCCTCCACTTAACACATATGCCCGTCTCACTTCATGGCAAATCATATATATGCGCTAGATATCGATTTTGCCCACCGCGTTTTTTGGCCCTCTTTCTGTGCTGCGCCCAACAATACTGATCGGCTCAGCCGGGGAAATGCGTGGAATCAGGCTCTCGTTTTTTCCCCGTCACTCCCTCCCCGCCCCCCACGACTCGTTGTTGTACATATGTACGCAGCTTTACTGCATAATGCCTCACAATGCCTTGTTAAGTATCAGGAAGAGCCAGTGCACTCCGCCCCACCCCACAAAGTGGCAAATATTTCCGGAACTGGGCTGTTAGCGGGGGGGAGCTAGCTAACATCTTTTATGTCTTTTACGAGCTTTGCTTCTCATAAAGTGATCAGAAACTTTAAAAAATCTGAAACTTTTGACGATTTAGATAGATTTTTTTGCCAAAAATCAAAATTTTCGACGGTTTTTATAAACTTTCTATGCGTGAATGAAAGTTACACAAAACGCCAACCCCCCCGCTAACAGTCCAGTACCCCGGCAACAACAACCAAAAAACAGCCCTTCCTGCAATCCGTGAAAGCTCAGTAAGGCTACTTGCTTTAAAAGGGAATGGATTTTGTGTGTTTATCATAAAAGCTATAGTTTTTCAATTATCCCATCACAAAGTCCATTCCACACCCACAGCGCCCACTAATAAGTATAGCAGTACACTACCAAATAGTGTCCGCCACGTCCTCCACCTTCCTCCCACGAAAACGCCCTGCCATCTCCCCCTTCCTTATCGTTCTTTTTGGTCTTCATTTTTTTTTTGTTTATCCGCTTAAAGTTTTATGGAGTTTTATATTATTTTAAAACCCGTCGTCGGCGCCAACACCCTCGTTTCGGCAGTAATGTATATGTGTGTGTGCACGAAGCCCGCCCCCGTGACATAGGTAGTAACTTCTGTTTCAAGAAGAACTTTGACATCTCGATGGGCTTGTCTTGGAATTCTTGGAAATCTTCTTTCAAATTCTTGGAAAAACGCGGTGGAGGTATGAAAAATACACAAGACAACCTTGTTAATAAAGTTTGCCCCTTCACCTCCCCGCGCCAACCTCAGCTGCCCCGCGCGCTTTTTGTCTTTCCTCCCGCCGACACAACCACAGGAATCGAGACATCGCCCGTGACAGCCCCCTCTCTCTCTTGCACCCTCCCCTAATGTCGAACGTCATTCTACCCACCGTTTGTCTACATGATTTTTGCTCAATAAATATTACCAATTTTCTGGTGCCATGGGCAAATGAAAATACACTGCAAACGCCATTTCCGTGGTGCCACGACACTTACGAGCCGAAATTTTTCGCCAAACAGCTTCAGCGTTCTTGGATACCAAATTGCTAACGCGTACCAATAAGCCAGCAATCACCTTGAAAACATATGTAAATGGGCGTTGCCTAGTTTTAAAAAGAAGTTTTTTTGCAGCAAGTGACGGCCAGCCATTGCGATACACATTTCCGAAAAGACATATTTTCGAGAATCACTTTTTCGGAATCCGCGTCATTTACCAATAGGCAATGGTCACGAAAGGGTGAGAAATGAAATTTTTTTGGGAAAGTGACTCTCGGAAAAATGACTTTCGAAAAATCGGTTCCAAAAACTGATAGCCGGCCTACAAACGCACATTTTCATCTGATGAAAGTGGTCGAGCAGCACCTGGGCCGTCCTCGCTGGATGAAAGATTTCGTGCTTGTCGAGGCGCAATCGCTCAAAATCCTGAAAAAATACAAAAAATTATGACACCGCCCGAATCTACTACCTCCAGTTGCGGCACATTAGCCCGAGAGGCCGCAAAAGCAATTATCAGGTCCTCTTCGGCCACCGTGAAGATTGTCATACTCTAAAAACGACAATACTGCACAAAATCCGCTAAATATACCTGAATTTTTTGAATATCTTCCGGCTTCATCTCGCTGAACCTCTTTCGCGCCACCTTATTCTGAACGTCGTCGTACATCAGTTGGTACCACCTATAAAACTTAATTTAAGTTATGAACAGCGTTTATTACCTCTCTTCAATCTCTGAAAGCGTGAAGCTCTTCGAAAAACGCACGCCAATATGGATGGCGGCAATGTCGCACACCTAACCTCAAATTTAAACAATAAAATTGGGCTCACATGGACTCCAGCAGTCAAAAGCTTCACGTCGTCGCTGGCCGACCATTTCTTCAGCGGCTCGATGGCGTTGTGATCGAAAAGCTAAAATATAAATTATATCTCCTTCAGAAGAATCGTACCTCTGCGGCCATGGCAATTTCCTTGATTTTCGTGTCCTTTTGAACCTTTGGCAGTCTCATCTTCTTCTCGGGCGGCTCATAAACAGGGGCTTGATGCGGGATTTGTTTGAACGGCGCCGGGACATCCTCCTTCTCAGTTTTTATCGACCTTCGCCGGACGACTAAATATGTTGTGATGAAGAAAAAGAAAAGTAGCATACCTGGTTTTGGCGTAGTTGGTTCTAGCTTTTCTGCAACCTTTGGATGCTCCTTCTCGGGACTCTTCGTTTTGGTGGCCGCGGGAGCCGGAACAGGCAAAGCAGCCGGCGCTTCCTCCATCACAGGTTGAGCTTCTTCTTCTTTCTCCTGCCGCTCCTCTTCGTCGGGCCGTTCGGCTTGGGAAATGGAGGGCGAGTGCAGAGAGTTTTCAGAGCCCTGTCGTTTCTGAAAACAACGCATTAATGGCTGGCTGTGCATGGAAAAAGGGGCACTGGATAAAACGCACCGTGGTGATTCTGAGGTCCGGGATGCTTTCGACAATCTCGTCGTCGAATTTTGGTCTTCTGATTTCACGGGCGGATCGGCGAATTGGTTTCTCGGAAGGGCTCATTTCACCATCTTCTGGCCGGGTGCTTACGACGGTGCCCGAAGATGAGGGTTCATCTTCGTACGGTGTCGCGTCCATCGAATCGTTCATACCTGAAAGAATGCAAACTAGTCTTCCTACACAATATTAGTAAAGCGGAAACGAAACAGGGCTTGAAGATTGAGGCGACAAGCTTGATCGCTTCAAGTTTCAAAAGCGAAACCTGGAAAAGCGAAAACCTGAAAATACGAAACAATACTATTCACGGCGCCATCGGCTAAAAGACAAGCATTCTACCGTAACAGACTTTTCATTTCAAATGCTCACGCAAAAATTCGTCATTCGCTCGCTTTTTTGCTCAAAACGTTGGTTTCTTTACAAAACGAACACTTTTCGTAATTCATGAAACTTTCTATAATTTTTGCCATCCGCGCCTACTTAAAATATGTTTGCAAAAGCCGAAATCTATTATTTGACGCCTAAGCCATTCAAAACGACCTCCCCTTTTCAAATAAATCAGCCCGCGATTGTCAGAGAACGCATAGCACCCTACTTTCGCACCTAAATCTGTCTGCGCTCTAGCCTGGCGACTCCCTGAGCACCGTAGTGCCCGCTCGACACGGGCGCCCCAAGACCAATAGTTTTCGCAGAGACATTGCCTCTTGTTATAAGAATGCGTTTTCCTCCTTGAATTTTTCTCTTCTTTAACGGGTTACTTTGCAGAAGTCGGCATCGCCCGAGGGAAATGCTCTCCAAAAGGCTCATCAGCGCTATTGGAAACACCGTCAAGGTTATTTTTATCGATTTTGCTTAGTAATCAGCGCCTTGGGTCCCCGCCGATCACTTAGCGGTGCTCCGATTAATTAATTTTTTGGGTTTTCTAAATCATTTTCTTTTAGGTGTCCCAGAATGGCATTGCCACGACTACCCGTGCTGCGGCTGCCTCTGGAGCCGAAGTCTCCAAGATCCTCGAGGAGCGCATCCTTGGCCAGGAGTCCAACATCAACTTGGAAGAGACCGGCAAGGTGCTGTCCATCGGAGACGGTATCGCCCGCGTCTATGGCTTGAAGAACATCCAGGCCGAAGAAATGGTTGAATTCGACGCCGGAATCAAGGTAAATTAGGGATTAATTTTTCATTGCGTTATTTTTAGGGAATGGCTCTCAACCTGGAGCCCGACAACGTCGGAGTTGTCGTCTTCGGTAACGACAAGGTTATCCGTGAAGGAGACACCGTCAAGCGTACCGGAGCCATCGTCGACGTCCCGGTCGGAGAAGGACTTCTCGGCCGCGTCGTTGACGCTCTCGGAAACCCCATCGACGGCAAGGGCCCGATCAAGGCTGCCAAGCGCTCCCGTGTCGAAAGTCAAGGCCCCCGGCATCATCCCCCGTCTCTCTGTGCGCGAACCTATGCTTACTGGTGTGAAAGCCGTCGATTCGCTTGTGCCCATTGGCCGTGGACAGCGTGAGCTGATCATTGGTGATCGTCAGACCGGGTGCGTTTTTATGGATTAGTTTAGATTGATGGTTTTTCTGTTTCGTTGCTGTTGCGGAACTAACTTTTCCTTTTCCAGAAAGACCGCTATTGCCATCGACTGCATCATCAACCAGCAGCGATTCAACAATGCCACCGACGAGAAGAAGAAGCTTTACTGCATCTACGTCGCCATTGGCCAGAAGCGTTCCACCGTCGCCCAGATCGTGAAGCGTCTCACTGATGCCGGAGCCATGCAGTACACCATCATCGTCTCTGCCACCGCCTCCGATGCTGCCCCACTGCAGTTCTTGGCCCCGTACTCTGGATGCGCCATGGGAGAGTTCTTCCGTGACAACGGAAAGCACGCCCTCATCATCTACGACGATCTGTCCAAGCAGGCCGTCGCCTACCGCCAGATGTCTCTGCTTCTGCGTCGTCCCCCGGGTCGTGAGGCTTACCCCGGTGACGTCTTCTACCTTCACTCTCGCCTTCTCGAACGAGCCGCCAAGATGAACAACACCCTCGGCGGAGGATCTCTTACCGCTCTCCCCGTTATCGAAACCCAAGCCGGAGATGTGTCTGCCTACATTCCCACCAACGTGATTTCCATCACTGACGGACAGATCTTCCTCGAGACTGAGCTTTTCTACAAGGGAGTCCGACCCGCCATCAACGTCGGTCTTTCCGTCTCCCGTGTCGGATCTGCTGCCCAGACCAAGGCCATGAAGCAGGTTCGGTTTTGTCTGATGCGCCATAGGATTTTATAGGCTTGTAAAAAGTTCTTGGTGACACATTTCATTTTAGGTTGCCGGTTCCATGAAGCTCGAGTTGGCTCAGTACCGTGAGGTCGCTGCCTTCGCCCAGTTCGGATCTGATCTTGATGCCTCCACCCAACAACTGCTGAACCGTGGTGTCCGTCTTACCGAGCTGCTCAAGCAGGGTCAATACGTGCCGATGGCCATTGAGGAGCAGGTAAGACCTATCGGTAAACTTTCAATTTCTTTTTTAGGTTTGCGTCATCTACGCCGGAGTAAAGGGACACCTTGACAAGCTCGACCCCTCCAAGATCACCAAATTCGAGAAGGAATTCTTGGCGCACATCCGTGCCAGCCAGCAGGAGCTCCTCAAGACCATCCGCGAGGAGGGACAGATCACGCCTGCCTCTGACGCCAAGCTGAAGGACCTTGTGACATCTTTCTTGGCCTCCTTCAAGGCCTAGGAACATCTTTTTTGCATCACTCGTGGTTTAACGTGTACGCTGCCCCCCGTTCTGTAGATTTTGCCGATTGTAGTTCTGACTTCTATTTATGCTAGACTAAGGAATGAAAAGTTTATAAATAAAATTGTTTTTCTAGTTACTACCGTTGTTGCTACACGTGAAACTCGGGGGCCTTCTTGTCTAGAATAAAACGTCTTTGCCCTTTTTACTGTGACCAGAGACACTGATATTGAAACTGCACAGACTAACAAAGGGTATGGCACCGCACTGGACAACCTATTTGGGCATGGCGATTGGGTGACTGTCAATTGGCTTCTCCACCGCCTAATTACAATTTATTGCCGAAAGCGTGTGGGCGTGGGGGAACATCGGTTATGGCGCCGCCGCTAGCCCGTCCAACTGGATGGAGAGCGTTCTGGTCCTTTTGGGCGACGGCGTAGAAAGCCTGGAAGGGGGGACAAGGCAGGGGTGTAGAGCGGATGGGCGTGGCCTGGGACCCATGGGTGCCTATCCTCCTCGGGAAGAAGCCGATCTCGTCCCTCGTGTTGCCCCCGGCTCTTCCCTTTCAACACCCGTGAGTTGCTTTGGCTATCACAGTGCTTACGCAAAGTTATATTTTCATAGTTAGCCGAAGTTGTCATTTGTTCTATTGGCGGTTCTAGAACCTTAAGATCAACGCCAAAGTTGGGGCTTTAGCTTGCTGGCGCTCCAGGCCGATAATAAAGGGGCAGGATGGCGACTTGTTCGACATCCGGTGCTCCACCGGAGTATGCCAAGGCGCCTACCCTTCGATCTACGCAGAGCCAGATGGCCAATGGGCTGACTGTAGACCTCCTTGCTGCCGCACAGGTTAGAACTATTTTTTTCAGGTAGTCTGATGTCTAGAATTTGTTTATTAGTGACGGGAATCAAAATTTCTCCCTATTCCCGACCCCTAAACATCCATTCAGCGAGAGGCCAATTTCCTGCGTATGATCGACCGGAAGGCGCCGCTTCTCTACGAGCCGGATGTCGTGAATCAGGCGATACGGCGCTATGAGCAATATTGGTTACCAATGCAGGTTTGTCAACATTTTATGGTTGTACTCCTTTTTAGGCGCGACACCCCGACATCAACGTTATTCCCCCACTGGATGTCCATTGGATATGGCACACCCATATGCTCAGCCCAACACATTACCACGAGGTTTGTGTTTGCTCTAGTATCCGCCTAGCGACGTTCATTATTTGCCGGCTGCTCGCCCGGATATCGCTTGCCTTTTTATTTGTGCTTCTTTCATAGCTACTCCTCGTGAATACCCCGCTCTCAATTAGCCGAATCGCCTTGGCCGCCGTCCGTTTTTCAACCGGCCACACAAATTGGTCACGTGAACCCGGGTCGATTGGCCAAATTGTGCTCGGGGGGCAATTGGGGGAAGTAATACCTTGTTGTCCGGCTAATTTTCGATAGGGTGGATTTGACGAAAAAGATGGGGTAGAGATTGAGATTGGCTGCTCTTTACTGTCAGTTCTTTGACGATTTCGGCCCTTGTGCGTTAGCAGGGGAGGGACTAAAGTCCTTTATTCAGGCTAACCTGTATCGTAATAAAAATATTTTGTTATTTGCCGAGTCCGAACACTTCAACGTTTTAAAAATAACAATAAATGAACATTTTTGAGCATTTTCTTACATTTTTAACCAAAAACTCACCTTTTTTTCTCGGAAATTCGGTGAATTTTGCTCTGCGCTTTTTTTATCTAAAAAGGGCGTAGCGGCTACAAAAATAACCTTTTTTTGCCATTATGGGGCGCCTAGGCAAAAGGAAAAAAAGTCAGGATCCCATCCCCCGCTAACGAACCAGTGCCGCCGTTACGGGAGGGTTTTTGACCCTCTGACGTAAGTGTGTGCCGGGGCGCGCTTTAGCAGTGACAGAGTTCCGGGCGCGCCACATTACGCATGGCCGTAATGTGTATAGAACGGAACTATTTTAATTAATTTTTCTACTTTAATTTCTCACTTCTAAGAAAGAGAATATACATGTAATAGTAAAAGAAGCATGTAGAAAGCTTTTTACTAACCAGAGGACAGTGTTTTCGCGAGTTGGGAACTGATGATTGTCACCTCATAGGTTTATACTGAGGAGAATCATTTACTTTCGCTTGGTGTTAATGTTCGTCATAGTATTAGTGTATGAAAGGAAAAGAACTTTAAATCTCTAAACTTAAAATGAAGCATACAAAGAGCCCACGGCAAAAGCTCGCTTGGCTTGACGGAAGTACAACATAATCTCGAGCCACCCCTGGACCCGCTACAATGTAAGATTTTTAGGCTTCTTCGAAAGAGTTAAAGTTTTCGCAATTCTTCACACGTCTGTGGTTTTGTATGATTCTTCATTGGCGTTATCTCCTCAGCATTGGCCATTCACAGCCTACTTTGCGAAAGTTCCTGCGCCCCTGCTTCTTTGTAATGACTGGCTTTTTGTAATTCAAGACATCGCGGTAGCTTCTGATTTAGAAAAAGTATTTCAGACGAGATTCTTCTTCTCTACAATATTTCAGAAGTGGACCAATCAACAAAAATACTGGTATAGATTCCCAAAATTCCGAAAAGCTATGATACTGACGATTAACTGTTCCAGATTTACCATAAATAGGTTCTTTTATTTATTAAATAAAAAGTCTTCTGCATACTTCTTTTACTTTATATATCCACTTTGTAAAAAATAAATTCAGAAGAAAGTATTCCGTTCTATACACCTTACGTCCATGCGTAATGTGGCGCGTCCGGAACCCCCTCACTGCTAAAGCGCGCCCCGGCACACACTTACGTCAGAGGGTCAAAAACCCTCCCGTGCCGCCGTTTCTTGGCCAATGGCTCCCTATTCAAATTCAAAAGTCAGCTCCTATTTTGACACTTCCTCGTTCGAAACATAGAAAGCACCCTCCTCCTACTGCTCTTGCTCGTCCTCCTCCCCCATCTCGGTCGTGTGCATATGTCAGCAATGAAAATGAGCTGTTGGCCATTGACCGCTGGCTCGCGCTCCCCTCGCCAGGGCGCGAAGCCCTCCGCCTTGTCTTTCGCCCCGTTTTTTATTTCTCCTCGTCCACCCTTTCGGCCCAATACATACACACAGACGTCTTCAAGGGGCGAGGGGAAGGGGAGCAAGGGGCCATCTGGGAGGAGGAGCAGGCTAAAGCTCCCGTCAACGTCTCACCTTTTGGCCCGGGGGCCTGGGAGATGCATCTCATTTGTGGCAGGCTGACGCGCGGATCTGGAAGTCGCCTTTGAAATTAAGGGTTTTCATCAGGAGTGGAAGGCGTCTTTTGATCGGAGGGTTGGGAAGCGGGCCGGAATGGGGGTGTGAATATTTGGGAATCCTTTTGAGGGAAAGTGACGTTATTTGACCGATTTTTTATATAATTAAATCCTACCTCGGCTAGGATAGAGCTTTTAGCTGTTTTACATTTTTAGGTCGATTAAGCTTTTTTTGTAATTTTTAGCCCGATCTCTTATGGAATTAAAATTTGCTGCAGCGTTTTTTAGGATTTATCCATTTTAATAGGTCTTACAGAATGCTTTTTTGGTTGAATTGCTGCTCGGAATATTAGTGGCGGGAAATAAACTTTCTTTGGCCAATTTTCCAGCGAATTTGAAGTATTCCTTGAGCTACGATGTTTTATCAGACATTTGTTAATTTTTTAACTGTTATAACATTTAGATCGTTTATAGCATTATCAGAGGTTTTTATGGGTTTTACTTATAACGATTCTTTTTTGCTTTTTTTCGCTATAGGAAACCGAGGTTGTAGACCTATTTTTGATCGGATTAATGTAGATTTCAGCCCGGTAAGGTTTATTAGAGGTTTATTAACTTTATTTTATATTGTTTGAACAGTTAGATTTTTAAAATATAAATTAATTAAATGAAAGGAATTTTTATAGCTTAAACATCCGCCCGCTTCCAGGGTTCGTACCCCGGTTGAGTCACAGGTCACCGTGTGCCCTCCTCGTTTTCTATGCCCCAGGTCGTGCTCCCCGATAGATTGTGCGACAAATCATGAGGCCCCAATTCCCCCGTCTGTGGCCCGTCGGACAGGCCAACGAACTGACGGTGGTTGAGGGGGAAAAGCCCCCCGGGGGCAATGTGGATGTGTCAGCTGGTGCTCTCTCAGGTAGAGATCGGTGTCTTGATGAGGCCCATCACCACATTCCACACCCTTCAATTCGCCAGACGATCGCTTTAAAAAACTTAGTTTTTCCTTTTTTCGAGAGGGAAAATGATAAAGCAATTTTCATAGGAAGCTGTATTTTTTAGGCCTTCCATGAGGAGCTACGCTAGATTTTTACTATAAGTTCAGCTATGGCTACTAAATCTAAAAATTGATTTAACAATGTTTATACTAAAATGTAGCTATATTTAAAGTGGAAAAACCGTTTTTCAAAAATCAAAATTTGCGATTTTGTTCGAAACTCGGTTCTTTTTCTTCCTACTTTCCTTACTAGGGAAGTGCAAATAAAAAATCTGGAAAATCGCTTAGCAAAAATATGGGTCTGATAGAGTCGGCGACGGGGATTCCGAAACTGCAATCAGAATTTGCAAAACGCTTAATACAAAAAAGTTATGAGCATTTTAAGTTTTCAGCAGTTTTCTCGCCCTCCCTTATGAGCCCCTCCCAAAGCCGGGTGTCCGCATGTCGAGTGGTGTAGTGGCTAACTAGCCTGCGCCTGAGGCGGAGGGTCTTTGGTTCGGCTCCCCGGTCATGCCAAATTTTTTGCTTTTTGGTCAAAGTCAAGAACTTTAGACTTCTTCGAAGTCCGAAATTTAAATTTTTGAACATTTTCTTTACTATTGACTGCGTGTAGGCTTACCTTACGAAAAAACAGAGGTGAATTTTTTTTAGTGCCCTACCCGTACTCCCGTACGGGCGTACGGGTAGGGCAGTACTTGCACTCCCGCCACCACTTCGTAATCGGTTTCATGAATTTAAAAATTAAGAGAAATGGCTTTTCGACTTTCAAACTTTGAAAAAGTCTAAAGTTCTTGACTTTGACCAAAAAGCAAAAAATTTGGGATGACCGGGGAGCCGAACCAAAGACCCTCGACACCAGGGGCAGGCTAGTTAGCCACTACACCACTCGACATGCGGACACCCGTCTTTGGGAGGGGCTCATAAGGGAGGGCGAGACAAACTGCTGAAAACTTAAAATGCTCATAACTTTTTTGTATTAAGCGTTTTGCAAATTCTGATTGCAGTTTCGGAATCCCCGTCGTCGACTCTATCAGACCCATATTTTTGCTAAGCGATTTTCCGGATTTTTTATTTGCACTTCCCTAGTTAGTAGCTCCCTTTTTCTAGTTTAAATAAAACATTTTTTACTATCTCCAACCACGAAAACTTTGCAAATTTTGATTAGAAAATGCTACAAATATCGATTTTGCGTCCAGAAACCGCATATTTTCAACCAAAATTACGAATTTTGAACATTTGTCTAGGTTTTCTCAAAGTTTTCCGATTTAAATCTAGTTATATGTTGCTAAAAAACTGTTAAAATAACTAATATTGCGTTACTAGACCTCTAGGAGAAAATTAGCCCCCACCCCCGATAAAGCGAAAGCTCCTTTTCCAGTTTCATTAGCGAATTCCGGGGGGATCAACCCTCCTGTTCCGGGCTGGCTATTTCCTGCCCATTCTCGTGAATAATTCCACGTCTCCACCCCATGGCCCAACGGGGGTCTCGAATTACCCACCAGGCGTTCCATAGAAGCGGTTGGATCTCCAGAAGAATAGAACGGGGAGCACGACGCGCCTTGGGGCCCACGATGGCCCGCTAGGGGAGCAAAGGGAGGGCTTAGGTAAATGGGGGTTCCTTTTTTGGGCGGCTGGAGAACGAAGGGGGGAGGACGAGATTGGCCCTCGAGGGCCCTGGGGCATACACACACGGCAGCCCCCGCAGCATACACACAAACCTTAGGGCCCAAAGCTTGGCCCCGACGACGAGTGGCCCGCGGTTTTTTAAGGAAGAGGGGAAGCTGGCGGAGAAGGTTTTTTAATAAGATTAAAAACTGGCGCGTTCTAAGTCTCTTAGTGTTTTTAAAGTCTATAGTAATGTAAGGGTATTGACACTGTAGCTCAATTTTAATGATTATCGAAACTAGCGTTTATAGAGGCGGTTTTTATCGTAAAGTCTATTAAAATCTAAGGGTTTAAATTGTGTGATAGGAACCTGAAAATAACATCTTTTTGTTCTCATTTTTAGTTTTTGAAGAGGAGAAACTGGGTGAGAAGTTCTTTAAATATGAAAAATACCGTTTTTATGTAATTTAATCCATAGACGAATTTTTTAAAATAAGACCAAACCAGTTTTTTTATTGTAATTAATTCCCTAGGAAACTATAGAAATTTCAAAAATAATAACTTCCAGTGGAAGTACGAGGCATTAAGGGCACGCCTTTATCCCATTCGCCCATAGCATTTTCCTCGAATTAGTAGAAAAGAATTTTTCGAGGCGAGGCTGTCCTATTAATTAATTTCGCACACCATGAATCCCCAAAACCTCCACGAGAATTCCCGCTTTGCAACAATGGCCTTTCAATGCCATTTTCTCTCTCTCTCTCTCTCTCTCTCTCTCTCTCTCTCTCCGACTTCACACCCCCGGGCGGCCCGACGTTTTTTGTTGAGCGAGAGCGGCGAAACGGCATAAATCATTTATCGCGCCACTCCTTTGTCGAATCGCCGGGGCTCTGGCTCGTGAAAAGGGCCCACCCACACGGCCACCACTACGCAGAGCTACGGATGACGATTAAAGTTGTTAAGAAGCATCTAACAAATTATAATAATCCGAGGAAAATCGGCAGGGCGGCCGGAAAAAACGTATGCCTCATAGTGCAGCGTTTACTTGTAATTGAGAAGTTTTATACCATATCTTGTCCTATTCGATATTCGCGCCATTTCAAAAAATAGTCATTATTTTATTGGGCAGCCCCGTGAAGCTAACTATAAGCCGGAAGCCCGCCCTGTTCGGACCCTATTGGCGCTTTGTCTCCGGCTCGAATGTCAAATTCCTGCTCCGCTTTCGGACCGGGTCGAGCCCCCGGAAGAGCCCTAGAGGTTGTCGTGGCCAGGCGCCCCTCTCGTGCTCAAATTGCAGATTGACGAGGGGACGACGGGTTTTTAAAAGGTTTTTTAGGGCTAGGCTAGCGTGTGGTAGGTCTGGTTTTTGTAGTCTATAGCCTAAAAATCGTCATTTTTCGCGAAAATCGAGTTTTATTTACAATTAGACGTTTTTGCTAGATTCTAAGCTATTTTTTGTCGTATAGGACGCTTTTTCCTCTTGATTTATTTCGGGGGTTTTCCAATTTTAAGGCGTAAATTTTTGAGCTCTTTTTGTTTACTTTATTGTGTACAGGGGGTCCCAAAACCCCCCCCTCTAGCGGTCCGTGGGAAGCTCAGATCAGGATGATTTTTATACCATTCGAACGCCCGCGAAAAGGAGAGAAAACAAGCGGGCTTCATTTTCTAAGATTTATTCTGATTCGTCCGATATTCAGCGTTTTTCTAAAAGACAGGTATCTTTTCAATAGGAATTTCGCAATTAGCATGCGGATCCCGCGTAAATCTGCCGTTTTCATGGACTTTGGAGGTAAAATTCGCCAACAAAAATACATAATAAAGAAAATTAACCCTCCATGTTTTCTCGCCTTTTCGAGAGCTTTCGATAGATACCTAAACGACCAGAATCGGACCCGTCTGGGCGCCGCTAGAGGGGGGGGTTTTGGGACACCCTGTATTCCCTACATTTTGTAGTCTGTGGTCCAAAAAAGCTAATATTTCCCGAAATATATTTTATTTCTTGGCTATTTATTTGGCTGGGCCATTTACTTTTTGTAGCTTAATCCGAAAATTGCCAATTTTGAGCGAAAATCTATTTTTTTTTAATGTGGATTTTTGCCAGTTTTTTAGGGGCATCAATATAGATCCTATTTGTAGCCTGTAGTCACCTTAATTCTTATCTGTTTTTGTAGCTTGTAATCCAAAAAAATAACGATTTGCGCTTAATTCCATTTTTTTTTTTTTTTGATTAGACGCGTTTGCTGCATTTTGATGCGCCGATTTTTGTGTGTTTTTGTGCTGCTTCTGGGGTCAGACATCCGGGTTAAGGGGGAGAAGAGGAGGACTTGAAGTGGGGAGAGAAGAAGCCGAGGATATGCTGAAAATGTGGAACTCTGATGCCGAAAACGGCTGCCTGTCATCCGACGCCCCTGGGAGCGGCGGGCTGCGATTCTCTTTTCGGCGTAAAAAGTTTCGTGGTTGATAGCAATCGAGGAGCAGTTTGAGGATCATTAATGCATCAACTGGGTTTTTATGCTCCAATTGCCTTTTTTTAGGTAGGCTATTCCGGTAAAAAGACCAAATTTCGACATTGAAAATACCGACAGCCAAAATACCGACGGCCAGAATTGTCATTCGAAATGTCGACACACTCCCACTTCGAATCTTGAGCATTTGATTTAGCCTGTAAATTTCGGCTGTCGGCATTCAAAATTTCGGCATTTCAGTAGAAATAATTTTTTCGATTTCCGGTCATAATCCCGACAGATGAATCCCGATACTATTTTAGCTGTCGATATTTTGGATGTCGGTATTCGACTGCGAATAACTTTTTTGGAATTCCAACCATAATCCCGACAGCCGAAATCCCGATAGGCCAAAACCGTAAATTCTGGGTGTCGGTATTTTGGCGCTGTCCCTAGCAAGGAAAGTAGACTTTTAGCCATAATCCGGTCAGCCGAAATACCGACCGGGCAAAATCCCGACAGTATTTTACGTGTCGAATTTTTATTTTTTAGCTTGAATTTCAGTATTTTGGCGTTGCCTCCGCTTCTTTTATTATTTACTAACGCCCCAATCCACAACAAAGCTCAGCGGTGAAAAATAATGCTACTACTCCTGGGTCTCAGCTGGAAAAGAGGAGGCGGAGGGGAGAAGCCGAGGAATTGCATTGTTGGCCTGTGAGGGCCATGGCCAAGGACCCAGGGTTCCCTTCTTCGCAAAGAACACCCAGTCCTGGGGTTAAAAAGGCGAGACACCCCCATCTGTCAAGTGTTATGACAGGCTATAAAACCCCCAAGGGGAGGGGAGGGGGATTCCCCCGCTTCTCACAAATGGACATCACTCCCCTCTCAAGCCGACTAAAGCTGAACTTATTTTTGGGCCGTGAAAAAGGCAGTGAAGGGGTTAGGGATCAACCCCCGCATTTGTCTAGCCTCAGCCTCCTCCGCCTCGTTCTCCTCGAATACATTGTAAATGGTCAAGAATCCTAGGGCCTTTTTTTGTCTAAAGAAAATGGCTATTAAAGCGAAGATTCTAGCGGTCTAGAGAAAAGCGGCAAGTCACTCATAGGATTTGGGTGCCGATACGAGTACTACGTAACTGAAGATCGCTAAAATGGCTGGTTGGGCCGATCTTGTGGACTTCCGACATCTTCGGAAGATGTTTTGTGTCGGCATTTTGGCTGTCGGCATTTCGGCTGTCGGCATTTTCAATGTTGGAATCGTGTATTTCGGCATTCCAGCTGAAAAACTGACGTTTAGTCAAACTTTCCCACTTAACTCGCCTTTTTGTGCTCTTTTAACGAATATTAAGCATTTTTAGGGCACTTACAATAACGAAAATGCCGACATTCAGTAGCCCGGCATCCGAAATGTCGCCATCAAAGAGGCGAAATTAGACATATCGATTCTGGGCCGTTCTGTGTCGGCATTTTGGCTGTTGCCTATTAATGCGTCGAAAAGTAGAATCTAGTTTCGAAAACTCCATTTTTCGAAGATTTCCAATTCGCCGACACCTTTCAAAATCAACACTAAATTTGCGAGAACGAGAGAAGAGCAAGAGCGAGAGAGAGTGAGTGAGAAACAAAGAAACTAAAAAACTTCCTTGTTTCCGCGAAAAGCCCTAGAAACCCCGCTGCCCCATTCGAGGGTCACCAAGCGGAAAGCCCGCGAAACAAGGAGGGGAGCACGACTGCGTGGAGCAGAACTTTTTACGAGTAGCTGAACTGAACATTGTCATCTCTGAAAAATAGAAAAACACGCTATGGCTAACTAGGTCTTTTTTATTTTGGGCCCCAATTTTTGAGGGTACAGTAGTCCACTCTGCCGGGGCTTCATCTTTCTCTTAAAATTGGACCAATCAACTGGCAAGGGGGAACCCAGTATACAAATTGAATTGACGCGTCTTTATCTCGGGATTGAGGGGGAAGAGAACACAAGGGGTTGGAGAAAGGAGAAGCTCGTCCGAAATAGAATGAGCAAGAGATAAAAACTAAATAAAGGATGAAATAAATGAGCTTTAAAAGCAATAAAAGACCAATTTTCAGGACTGCCAGAAGATTTGCGGGAAAGTGATCGATCATAAGCTTCTATCGTCGGATGAGATTCAGAAAAGGTAATTTTACAAACTATATATTAAAAGGTATCGTGCTACATAAATTCAATTTATACCTAGATTAACGCCCTTTCCAGATATGAAGCCTCCGTACGCGCGTGGGATGAATATTGCAGCCCGGAACCGTACGACTTCCTCGCCAGCCCAACCCCAGCCGCCACCTATGAACTCCAGTCCGGCTATGACATTGCCGCCGCCGTACAGCGCCAACGAAACTTCAACTATCAAGTGCGAATCGCTAAACCGAGCATCAACTCTTTAGCAAGCTAACCCCCAAAAAGCAAAAAATCTGGGCTGAGCCGGGGATTGAACCCGGGACCTCTCGCACCCTAAGCGAGAATCATACCACTAGACCACTCAGCCATGACGGAAACAAGCTGCTGTGGGCTATAGAAAGCTAGGGGAGCCTATCTGCGAAAAAGCAAAACATTGGGCTCAGCCGGGGATTGAACCCGGGACCTCTCGCACCCAAAGCGAGAATCATACCACTAGACCACTAAGCCACGGGAGGTGGCGCGCCAGGGAGGCTGATGAGGGGACAGCTGCTGCGTAGGGGAGGGAAGGCGATGGACTGGAAGTTTGACGAGCAGACGAAGAAGGCGCAGGGATCCCGAAAAATCAATCATTCGTTTCGGGGAGGGGATAATCGCTTGTTTTGACAAGATATTCGATCGTGATTTGAAAAGGAGAAGCTTGAAAGTTAAAAGAATCAACCTCTCATCTAAAATACATAAACAGCACGAAGATCCCCAGGATTTTCGGCATTTTAGCCATTTTTCGGAGATTTTTTAAACACTATTCGATAGAGCCTCAAAAAGGGTACTACGAATTTTAATCGTCTCGCTTAAAATAATATTGTATATACATTAGATCGCAAAACAAACAAAAAACTTTGAAAATCGAGTGAATAAGCTAGTTTTTCGCTTTTTTCGCTATTATTTAGATTTTCCCGCACCGTCATTCATGCGTTAGAGCATCGAAAAATATATTTCTAGATTTAATTTTGGCTAAAAATGATGTGGTATAATATATTTATAGCACAAACAAAGTCAACCGTCGAAAATAGCTTGAATAAGCTAGCTTTTTCGCTATTTTGTCGATATTTAGTCGACGCCGTTCGATAGACAGTCAAAAAGAAAAATAGAAATTAGTTACCTCCTGAAGCTGAAAAAGTGTTTTTCAGTGTATTTTTGAAGTATAGGCAATTTTTAGGTCTCACTACCACACTATACGTCGACCAAATTTCTTTCCGAAGCCGTCCGTCGTTATATTCAGGTTTGTCAGTTTATTCTAACTAACCAGCGGGGGAGGAGTCGCTTCGCGACTCTCCCCCGCTGGATCCCGTCTAGGCCCTATTAATCGAGCGCCCTTCCACATAAAGTTACCTTGAAGAAAGAAAAACCCATCTTCCATGCAAACCTCTTTGTATTGACATGCGGCGCAAGCTCGAAATGCTAGTCTCGTTATTAGGCCTGCGGCGCCTGTTTCATCGGCTAGCCTTGTCCTGCGGCCCAAGTTTGAAGGATTAGCTTCCTTTTTTTGGCCTGTGGCGCCAGCTTGAGCGGTTCCTTCAAGATTAGGCCTGCGGCGCAATTTGAACGGTTACCTTCTTCTTTAAGCCTGCGGCGCTAGCTACAATGGTTGGCTTTATTCCTTAGCCTGCGGCGCAAGCTTGTGCGGCTAGCTTCGTTCTAAAGCCTGCGGCGCTAGCTTGTGCGGCTAGCTTCGTTCTGAAGCCTGCGACGCAAGCTTGTGCGGCTAGCTTCGTTCTAAAGCCTGCGGCGCTAGCTTGTGCGGCTAGCTTCGTTCTAAAGCCTGCGGCGCTAGCTTGTGCGGCTAGCTTCGTTCTAAAGCCTGCGGCGCTAGCTTGTGCGGCTAGCTTCGTTCTAAAGCCTGCGGCGCTAGCTTGTGCGGCTAGCTTCGTTCTGAAGCCTGCGGCGCTAGCTTGTGCGGCTAGCTTCGTTCTGAAGCCTGCGACGCAAGCTTGTGCGGCTAGCTTCGTTCTAAAGCCTGCGGCGCTAGCTTGTGCGGCTAGCTTCGTTCTGAAGCCTGCGACGCAAGCTTGTGCGGCTAGCTTCGTTCTAAAGCCTGCGGCGCTAGCTTGTGCGGCTAGCTTCGTTCTAAAGCCTGCGGCGCTAGCTTGTGCGGCTAGCTTCGTTCTAAAGCCTGCGGCGCTAGCTTGTGCGGCTAGCTTCGTGCTAAAGCCTGCTGCGCAAGATTGTTAGGTTAGCTTCATACTTAAGCCTGCGGCGCAAGTTTGATGGGCTAACTCTTTCTTTAGAGGGCTGCCGACGGCATGTGTCGATCCCCCCCCCATCAACAAATTGGCAAGTAGCCAACAGGGCAGAGAGCGCGCCCTGGGGAGAGGCGCAGAGACATTTTCTTTCCAGCGCGTAACCGATTGACTATGCCGTCGGGCATCCCTTTAACCCTGCGGCGCGCGCTTCAGATTCAGAGACCAAATCCATTCTAAAGACTGCGACGCTAGCTTGAGGGATTAGCCTGAATCTTTAGCCCGCGGCGCTAGTTTCAGTGCCTAGCTGGATTCGTTAGACTGCGACGCAGTTTAGAGCGACTGACTTCAGAATAGCGCCTCCCTACAGGAAAATACACTTCGAAACATGCATTCCGAGCATAAAGCAAAAAAAATACGATAGCCGGGGATCGAACCCCCGATAGCACGACTGGCAGGCTGGCGCTCTAACCGCTATACCATGAAATGCTTGGGAGAGCGCGCGCAACATCCCTTGTATCCCCCGAGGTGACTACCGGGAAAGGGGAGCAAAGTCGGGGGCAGATCCAATGAGGCAGCCAAACGCTCGAGTGCAACTGGCAAGAATGAGGAAATTTGTATTTTCTCGCATTATGCAAATTAGCCCTCAGGGACCCACAAAAATGAATAAAACGGGCCTTAACTTTGTAAACTTGTATTTTATCGAAATTCTGAGAACGCCATCGGAAACAGAAGGGTCGATTCCCCCGGAGTGACGGAGAATTGGGGCATTTTATGCAGGGGAAGGTCCTCAAATCAGGCCTCGAAAGTGACATCCACACACACACACACACATACGCGACCAAATTATATAAGGTGGGATATTGCGGTTTTTACAGTTCCTACTCCTCAAGCAGAGCTACCACGATCAGTTCCTGACACCGTGCTACGATTTCGACATCATCTGGCACACGCATCAGGTCCACCCGCTCAATTATGAGCGGGATTGTATCGCAATCTTTGGGAGCCTTTTGAAGCATGATGATGGGGTAAGGAATATTTTGTTATGTCAAAAATACGTAAATTATTTAGGTAAACGACCGCTCGAAGGGAAGCAAACTGCTAAAGGGCGAGGCGGTGACAAAAAAGTTATGGACCACACATTTCGATGAAGCCTTTTGGCGACGAGGTTGTATGTATCGGTCAGTGCCACTTTTTATGCAAATTAATTTGTTTTAGCGGTCACAACGCGCCGGCTTTTCTCGGCTTCGAATCGCAGGATTTGTCGAATATCGCCTATGGAGATTTACACGTCCCTTCCATTGCGCTAAAAGTAAGTAATTAGGTGTTTTTATTAGCCAAAAGAGTGCGATGATCATTTAGCAATGAAAAAAGGAATATAAGAGCTTTTTTTATTCTAGTATGAATCGAATTTTCCAGGATATCCCCGTGCAGCGCGAGCAACTGCGGCTAAAACTCTGCTACGGCAACAAGAAGGTGACAACATTCAACGCTGATCTCTCCCAAAAACAAGTAAACTTAATTATAGTCTTTGGACCCAATTCAGGTAACAAAATCGGGCTTTTCCCTGGTTTGGCAGCCAACCGACAGCTCTTCCTCGGCTTCTATCGTCAAGTTTCCGTTTGAGAGGAAATGTTCGAAGGATCTCTTCGTTGAGCTCGAGGTAGTTTTTTATTTTACAAAATGGTCTGTGTAGTATAAAATCGACCCTTTGTGATTTAACGATTAGTGCAAAAACTCGAAAAAAGAGGTCAAATCGGTAGAAAACTATAATTTCATTATTTTTTGTTTTAGCTGTTCGACAAAATGTTCCTGCAGAAGAAAGACCTGGTCCGGTTGATTGGGCGCGTCTCGCTAGATGATGTAAGATTTGTTGACATTTTTTATTTATATACTTTCCATTTTTTAGCTCCTCCCCCCGACAAACAGCAAATCGGCGCACAACGTGGCGGATGTGCCCTTGCAGACAAAAGACTACGATCCAGAGTTGAATGCTCGTGTCACCGTCACGACTAGGTGGCTTGAAATTGAAAATTATTATGGTTTTGCTTATTTTTAGCGTCACGCTCAACCGAGAGCTTCAACTATTGGCCGGCGATTTTCAAGAAACCGCCCTGCAAGTCGATACTCATTTGTGGTAAGTGAATCCTGACGCAGCATAACCATATTTTTTAGGTTCCTGTGTCAGTGCGCTTCATTGAATCGGCAAGCCATGCAACCTGGCGTCACCGTCCATCTAGCAACACACACGTACGCTAAATTTATAGATTATTTTGTAATGTTAGCGTTAAAGTTTATCAAAAGTTATGTTTTGTGTAATTCTTTACTACAATTTATTATAAGACTAATTTCTTTTTAAAAACATCTATCTCTTTTTTAGAGTAATGGATACGCGCGATGGAACCAAATTCACCGTACAAGTCGTCCATTCCGCCCCGCTACTACTGTCAATGATCCTGGTGTATGGCCGAGAGCAACGGCTGCTTTCTATGGCTCACCTCATTGGAGCGGATAGTTTGCCCAGTCGCGAGCAGCTCGATAATAACTTGGTTTGATCGAAATTACCAGAGTAATGAATAAGTATTTTTAGCAATTCCTACCTCACCTGTCGTCACCAGAAGAGCGCGCCTTTGTCATTGTCAATCGCGAGGGAGATTATGCGATTGTGAAAGGAAGATGGACAGGATTTGCGAGGAAACAGGTAATCTAGAAATTTCGGATTTATTTTTAATCAGCTAAAACTTTAAAAATAGTCATTTACAGGATTAAAAGTTAATGATTTAGTGATAGAGTAGGAAAGTAGAATAAAAAGTAAAAATAGAAAACATCAGAACTACTACTACGTTTTTACCTTTTATAACTAAAAGTCTTGGTTAAAGTAATGTAATAAAGTGATATGAAAGGTAAGAACGTAACGTAAAAATGTAAAAGTAATGTATTTTTCGTAATAAAGATAAAAATACTAAAGTTTTAGTTAAATTCAGTAATACAGTAACAAGAAGTATTTATCGTTCCAGGAAACGCCAAACGTCACCGTAAAAGGCCAAAAATCGAAGCCCGGAAACCCGGGCCGATTGCTTGTCGACGCGTTCAATTTGCTGAAAAACACTGTGCAAAAGCTGGAAGTTCCAACGGCTGAGGGGAGCACGCTTTTTGTCATTGGAGGTTGGTTTAATAAAAAAATATAGATGGAACAAAAATAATGGCTAGTTTCTTGGTAACAAAATAATCCATTTAAAAAGGATAAAATGTATATAAATGCTAGAAAACAAATTTTCTAGACGCACAAGCTCGCCTTCCCGGCAAGCGAATCGAGGTCCGCTCGACAGCCACCGCCGAGCACATCGCCGCCGTGTTTTGCGTGTCGACCCTTTTCGTGCTGTGCAACCCGGATAAAGTAAGAATATCGAAATCAATTTATACGAAAATAAAATTCATTTTATGCATAAAAATACGTATTTGATCTGCAATTACTCCCTTTAAGGTGCGCGCCCGAACCGAAGCAACAACCGTCGGCCACCAAGCCCATAAATGGCCCCTAACCCTGGCGTGTGGATATGGCAAACAACTGCCATCCAACCGTATCATTGCCGCCGGTGACTACGGCGGTATCGAGGCAAGTACTGAACTAGAATCCCCAAAAAGCAAAAAATCTGGGCTGAGCCGGGGATTGAACCCGGGACCTCTCGCACCCTAAGCGAGAATCATACCACTAGACCACTCAGCCATGGTGGAAGGGGATGGGTGAGGGGTAGATATCGTTGTCTTTCCGCTCCATCTTGGTGTGCAGCCGGTTTGGTTGCCCTGGGGGTATTTGAGGGGAGCAGGAGGATGGGTGAGAGGGGGAGGTCGAGCTCAAGGAGAAACAGGGAGAGAGATAACGAGAGAGCGGGAGAGAGATAAGCAAAATTCGACAATATCATTTTATTGATCTTCAGATGGCGCCGTTAATGGCAACACTATGTGGAGGAGGCGGAGGTGGATGCGACGGTGGTGCTTGTGGAGCGTGCGGTGCCTGCGGTAAGTTCTGCGTTCAACCTACGCATCAAAAAGGTAGATTCAAGCATATTAAGGTGAAAAATTACCAGCAATTTCCACCACAAAAATAGTCAATCACCACAAAAGCGGAAACTGTCACCAAAATCCGTTTTTCCTTTTGTTTTTAGGATCAAAATTTTCTAAAACTTTTTTATAAGCCCAAGCGTATAAAAACAAATTTGTTGTTTAAAAAAATCCAGATTTTTCGACTAAAAATCGCCGGTTTTTGACGCAAATTTCGCTTTTTTTTCTAAGTTTTCGGATCGCTTTTCTAGTTGAAATTAGGTATATTCTACTAAAAACACTTAAAATAGCTGCGATTAAGTTATCAGAAAAAATCTGTAGAAGGCAGGAAAAGAAAAAATAAAAATATACAAAAAGATCGATTTTTTTCTACAAATATAGACTTCTACAAAAATTTCGCTTTGCCCCCCCCCCCGCTAATGCAAAAGCACCACCTAAATTTTTTTCCTTCAGGCGCTTGCGGTGCATGCGGAGGCTGCGGAGGCTGTGGCGGATGCGGTGGATGCGGAGGTTGCGGATGATCGCGAAAAAAGCCGTACCCTTTCGCCCTTTCACGAAACTGGTTCTGTGATCGCGTGCATTTCCCTTTAATACCCACTTTAAAAATTCTCTTCTAAATCCCATTTTTTATTTTTCCCCTGGGTGCTAAACGAACCAAAAAAAAGACAAAACCCCCGTTCTCTCTTGTATTATTCTCACCGAGGCAGCTTGCCAGTCTTGTTATCCGCTTTCTAGTTATGTGTGTGTATGATATTTCATGAATAAAATTATCTAATAGAAATAGGAACAACGAGAGAGAGAGAGAGAGAGAGAGAGATAGTCGGGGAGAGAGAAAGAACGCGAGAAAGAGCGAGAGAGAGACAGGTAGAGTCATAGATAGAGAGAGAGAGAGAACGAGAGAGCGAGAGATAGAGATAGAGAGAGAGATAGTCGGGGGGAGAGAGAGAACGCGAGAGAGAGGGAGAGAGACAGGTAGAGTCATAGAGAGAGAGAGAGAGAGAGAGAGAGAGAGAGAGATAGAGGTATCAGCGATTTTGTCTACATAAAAATTACCCCTTTTTCAGGAACTTCCGGTTTTCCTCCCGCAACAAACTTGACAACCCCTGGTATTTCATAAAAAGCCCTTCTAGAGTTATCTAAAGCATCATCCCATTTTTTTGATGTCCGACGGGGCCGATGAACTTGAATGAATTCCTTTTACTTTCTTCGTCCCCTTCTTCCGGTGCAAAAAGAGAGGAATGAAATTGATTGATGGCGATTCTTGGAGAAGATTGGCAGAGAGAGAGCGCGCGAGGGAGAGAGCGAGAGAGAGAGAGAGGGTATTGGATCGGATTGTCGAACAAGAAGATAAGATCTTCCCAATCGAACGCCCATATATTTCATTGCAGGCAGAGCAGAGAGCGAAGTATCCATCTACACTTTCGGCTACGAACTCGCACTTTTTCCTGTTGGGCATACAGTATTTTGGGTGTAAAATCGGTTTTTGGTGTTCATAACGTCTTTATTTTTCTATCACATTTCTATTGCAGTGAGTTCTAAAGGTATTTTTAATTTATGTTAGCTATGTTTTACTTTTCCTAAGCGCATAAACGCTACAATTTTTTATTGAAAATTACAGAAGAACAAAACAAAAATTTTCGAACAAAATTTCATTTTTTAATAAATTTTTGAAATTTTGAGATAGTTTTCATTTGAAATAAATTAATCTTTAGGAAAAAAACGCTTAAAACAATTACTATTACCTCACTAGGCATTTCTGGATTTATTTAATTATATAGGTTTTAGCTTCTTCCCCCCCCCCGATAATGCCAAAGAACCGAAAAATTCCTCTAAAAGCATATTTCAATTAGCATTATATTAGTACAGATTTTCAAGTAGTCGCCACTTTAAAGCTTTATCAGGGATGACCTACCTGGCTGGGGAGGGCCTGTAAAGTGTAACCGTTCGTACAGTAAAACTGTCTGGAGGAATGTTCTAGTCTATCGCTCTCTCCCTCTCACTCTCCATCTCTCTCTCCTTCTCTCTCTCTTCTCTCGCGCTCCGTGTTTTCCGAGGCCTTTTTTATTTATGACCCCAATCGGCTGCTGGGTGTTATCGAATCGGGCCAGGTGACTGACTGCTGGTTTTCCAGTTCAGTCCGTTCCATTCCCACGTAACGGTCCGATCTATTAAATTTGTACATAATACAATTTAAAATTTTACATTATTAGTTTTATAGCTAAATTTCACGTTTAGGGCACGAATTCAAAAAATTAGGGCGTCTTGACGTCAGCAAAAGAGTTTTTCTTACGCTATAACTTCTATTTTTCGCCCAAATACATCATTTTTCAATTGGATCGTACAATCGTTTTGATTTTAAACATTATGTTTAGTTTCCACGTTTTATTTAACGTCGTCAACGGCGTGACGTTTTGCGCACGTTTTTCTTACGTCTATAACTTTCGGTTAATACCTAAAATTGTCATTTTTTTTGGAAAATGGAGCAACAACCAAAAACCCAGCCAACCCAACCAATGGCCATCCCTCAAACTTCGGAGAAACCGACGGAAAAGCCCACGTCGACCTGCTCGCTGCTGGCCGACCCAGAGACACGGAAACGCATTGAAGAGGTAGGGAATTTGGCACTGGGCTGTTAGCGGGGGGGAGGTAAATTTGGCCTATCGCCCCGTAAAGTCCCATTCACAATGAAATCTACACCTTTATACTGAGTTTTTAAACACAAAATTCGTAAAAATGATTAAAATTCTCGTAAAATGTGGATTTTTGGTCAAAAATACATGCAAATATCAAAAATTCTCTAGAAATATTTTTATGATTTCTTAATCATCAAGATCTGCTAAAGGCATGAAAACACTACAAATTAAAATTATGTACTAAAAGCGCTGTATTAAGGTGTTTCTCTCACACGCCCAGCTGACGCCACCCGACGAGTTTGGCGTTCGCTACGTCTACGTCGGGGCCCATGATTAAGGTAAGCTCAAAATAACAGATTAAAAACCTATAGAAAGCAATAAAAAACATAGTAACAAATCGTCTGTGATTTTGACCTAAATGGTAAAGTAAAAGTACGTCTAAATTATCCCTTTCAGGCCTACAACCTTCAAAACATCGCCCAACAAATGTATTTATTTCCACATAAAAACCGTAAAGCGAACGAGAGATCACGTTTCGAACGAATAAATGGTGCGATTTTGGTTTTCGTAACTTAACAAAATTGATGGATAATAATATCAAAAGTCCCCCACCCCCGATAATGCATAAGCGCCGAGTTCAAGAATTGTTATGGAAAAGCTTCAACAACTTGCTGCCAGTCTTCAGCTTCGAAATTGAGGGACTTTTGTGAAGTAGGGTGGCGGATGGGGCCGGTGGAGTTTTCTGCTTTGACGGAGGTGTCTTCCTATTCAGATGTGACGATCGGGAGGAGGAGCGGAAGGAGAACCCCGATTTTCCTGTAATGACTTGGATCATATGGCGTGAATAGTAGTTACGTGTACTATTCGTAATCTCCGAATCTGACGAGCACATCCGGGGGGATGGCGAGCGGGCGCCGGTGAGGATGTGGGTGAACGTTTCGTGGAATAGCTGGGCTAACGGCCGCGGATCCTGAAATGTTCTAAAATGTTTTTTAGTAATGTTTGTATTAATCTCGCTAATTTCAAGTTTAGAAAACCTAGAAATTATCTAAAATATTTAAAATTTGGTCGAATTTGGGAATTTTTGTCCAAAAGCCTATTTTTTTTAGTTTGTATAACAAGTGTTTCAGAAGCGTTTTTAATCAAGAGATAACTATACATTGAGTCGCATAAATTTCTAAAAAGGTTAAACTGATGAATTCGCTCGAAACCGGGCCGTTTTTCGCCGAAAAGCTATATATTTATATTTTTTTAAATGTTTGTAAATTTTTAAGCTTAGGAAAAGTAAATAGTAAATATTATTATAAGAATAAGCTTCTATATTAAAGCCATTATACCCACTCCAGTGGCATTTGTCTCCGCAAAAGATGCTCCAAACTTGGTTGCCGTTCGCGAAGCATCGGCTTCACTAACTTGTCTAAACCGTTAAAAACGCTTTAGGAGACTCGAGTCTCCATAAAAAAGAAATTCTTTTACGTTTTGACATACCTATACCGCTCCAAATCACTTTTATTCCCAAGAAGAATGGTTTTGTGCTCGCGCGCACATAAAAGATGCTCATGACGGGCGATTTTTTCTAACAGGCCCTCGGCGTACCTTAAAATGGGGATTTAACGCTATTCCTATAAAAAATGTGTACCAAAAGAAACCAACTGTAATGATAATTGACTCGTCACATCGTATACCACGACATACACGTCAGCCCAGGCAATCCAGCGCATATCGTCACTAAAAACCGGTTCGGAAATTTGTAAATCTCTTACCGATTCGCATCGTCCACCGTATCCATCAGCCATACCATTAGTGGTTGTTGGGCCACCATGTCTTGTTTGCAGTAAGTATCTTCTGGAGAAATAATTTAATTTGGAAAAGATATCAACATTTTACCTAGTGACTGGTCGTACTCGCCGATGAAGCGCTTTGTGATGTACTTGACGGTGAGGGCTAAAAGTATCAGGTTATCGATTAGTTTTTTTTCTGAAGGTTTCCATACGATAAAACTCGAAAATGTACCCGATTTTCCGCTGCCATTCATCCCCACCAACGCCACATGCATCTCTCGAATTGGCGTTTGGGCGTTGCGCATTTTCGCAGCTGTAAAGTTTATGAAAAAAAAAAAATAATAGTAATTGCCCGAAACTTAAAGAGATGCGGCGGCGAGAGAGGGCGCCCAGTGAGAGGCTCAGAGACATTTTCTTTCCAACGCGTGATCGATTGACTTATGCCGCCCCCATCCCTTTAAAAAAGAACGCTAATCAAAATTTTTACAAGACCCTTTGCGCTAATTTCCAGCACAAACGGAACTTCCTGGCCATCAAAACAAATCGATAGCGGCAGCGCGATCAGGCCAACCTGGGGGCCAAGGGCCAGCTGACCGCCCCGGGGAAATTACACACCTAGTCAACGCTCGGGAGCATAGTAAGGAAATATGGCTTATCTTTGCCTTTAGGACAACGACGTCTATAATTCAGATTTTCCCACTCCGCTTCATACCGCACACCACAAGAAAACACAAAACATAAAATCGATTTATTCATTCGTGACGTCGTGGTTAAATGGTGGTCGAGGAATGGCGGCCGAAGGCGGGCTTATTCACATCTTCATTGACATGCGGGCTGGTTACCAGGAAGGGCATTAATGGAGGGCCGTCGTATCGGCTTGTATCTAAAAACGCAAATTAATTAAAAAAAATTTGAATTTCCACGGACCTATGGGCGATAGGTGAAGGGGATGACGCGACGACGGACGAGACTGCTCGGATCGGGTTTCCAATCGACCTGTCCATCGGCATCATCTGCCATAGCGGTCACCCATTCCAGGTGAATCTCCCCGTGCATCTCATCCTAAAAAGGTATATATTAACAATCAAGGTACTTTGATTACCTCGCTCGATCCTCCGGGGCGACAAGCGTGAAAATGTTCGATTGGCCGGGGTGGAGAAGGGCAGACAACGCCGACAGACTCGTCAGGTTCACCGGATCGATGCGCACTATCACCGAGCAGTTCTCATTTGTGCCCAGCACGACACAGAGATCAGCCACCGATACCGTGGTGAAGATGAGACGGTCCGGGTGGAAGGTGAGAGCCGGGGGATTGTTCGCTGAAAGAGAGAAGTGAATAACGCTGCGGAATTTCCTACCAGAAGCATCGTAACGGGCCGGGGAAGCTGCACCGGCTTTCCAGATCAACCTGCCGTCGAGAACGATTTGGGTGGGCTCGATCGACGGCTCGGCGAGGCCGGTGTTGTAGCGAAGCGCGAATTTTGTGGTCTACAAGGGAATGTCGTTGAAAAATATAATAAAACGGACCATTTCAAACGTTTGCGGCGGGAAAGCGCCGGCATTGTGGGTCGATTTCGGCTTCTGAAGAAGATGTTGTAAGCTATTTTTCGGTACCGGTGAAGTGGTGCTGGAGCGCGAACGACGACGGCGAGCCGGAGTAGGGGCGCGAGAGCGACGCGGCGGAGGCGAGATCGACAAACGAGACATCGTAGAATTGATGCGCTCAGCGGGCGTCTCCGGGGCGAAACGCACGCCGGTGCTGTGGCGCTAAAATGTGTATTTATATTGAGCATTGTTATAGAACAATTTAAATAAGCTAGTTAAATTACTATCTTGGATCCAAAGCTAATCACAAGGTTTTTCTATTGCCAAAGCAATTTAAAGGGATACCGACGGCATAGCCAACCGGTTACGCGCCGGAAAGAAAATATCTCTGCGCCTCTCGCCAGGGCGCGTTCTTTGCGCTGTTGGCTACTTGCCAATTTGTTGATGGGGGGATCGACACATGCCGTCGGTAGCCTTTTAAAATTAAAAACCTTCATTTTCATCGCCGGCGAATGGCTGTCAGAACGGGTGCGATGAAGAGACCACTTCGAATCAGTAGGATCCGCATCCGGCCAGGCAGTGTCTTCTGGCATCAAGATCGTCGAGCCCTGGCACTAAATTCCAACCGTATATCCCCAATGATAAAACAAAACCTCGAGCTCGGGCTGCAGCTGGCTGCGCGGGGTCGAAGTGCGAGGGCGCGTGAACAGCTCGGACTCGATGGAAGTCGTGCGATCGAGGAGGACCATTTCGTTGCGCGCGCGCGGGGAGCGGCTCGCTCGCCTCGGGGCGGCGCGATAATCGTTTGCCTTTTCTCAATGTAAAGAAACAATTTAGATAGAAATACCTCCGAATAACGCTGGGGCGACGGAGAGCCACGGGCTTTTGAGGTGCGCTTTTCAAACCAAGGCGTCCCACCGGCCGGCCCGACGACTGGCGATTTCCGCTGCAGGGTAGGCGTATGTTCCTGAAATTAAAACAGGATAAATTTGTTGGGTTGATACCTACCGCCTGAGGGCTGCGGACGAGAAGCTGGTGCGGTTGGATGACTCTCTTGGGGGTATGGCCAGGCCATGGCGTATCCTCAGCCATCGCTTCCGTGCCCTCCAGCTCGGGCTGCAGCTGACTGCGCGGCGCCGATCTCATCGGGGAGCCGGCTTCATACTGCTGATTACGCGAATTCTGCAAAAAGAAATAAGCTCAGGCAGGAGCACTGACCGAATGGCTTCTGGAGCGCGAACGCCGAGGCGATCGATGACGAGGTCGCATCGCGGGCGAATATAGTAGAAAGAATTTTTTGCCGAGGTTGGCGGTTCAACCCAAAGACCGGAAATTGAAATTTCCGGATGCGGATGTTGTATTACTATAATCTGTGTGATATCGTTCTTCTTTACCCTCTGTTTGCCGGAGTAGCCGCAGTCTCGGAAAAAAGTATAAAAAATTTTTTATTCGAACGAGCTTCTCGGAGGGATATGCCATATGAAAAACCAAGGATAAAGCGCAGGGTGCTGGGCAGGGCCGATGGCGAGTAGAGCTGAAGTAACATCCCGAGTGTCGTTTTTCGTTTTCGATTCGACGTGGACGTCCGTTAATTGGGTGATGCGTTAAAGAGAGGCCCGGTTCGTGCACTCGAGTCTGAAAAAAAAGATTTATAACTGACACAGTCCGCCGCATACCTATGTGGTATAGACGAACGGCACGGAGCGACGGGACACGATACCATCCTGGCCAGCGATCCATTCGACACGAGTGCGCGATTCGACCTGGCCAGCATGACCATCAACCATAGCCACCCATTCGACTTGCACCTGACCCTTCACAGCATCCCCCTAAAACAGTCATAATGCTATCAGAGTTTGTAGATTACCTTAACGGCGCCTTCAGGAACGGCAAGCTGGAAGGTGAACGACTGGCCGGGGCGGATGAGAGTCGTCGCAGGGGAGAGGCTCACAAGATACTCCGGGACGATGCGCACCAACACCGAGCGTTTCTCGGCTTCTTCCAGCTTCACGATGATTTCGGCCTTCGGCGCGGCTGTGGTGAGGGCGAGCCGTTCCGGAAGGACGTTGAGAGCGGGGGGCGCCTCGTTGGCTACAAAAATATAAAATTAATCGTTTTTAAGATCCCGGAGCGGCTACATTTTTTCGAAAGCCCAGTTTAGCATACTCAGCCTAAGTAAAAAATAAAATTTTAATTTTCCAAGGTTTTCTGTTTCAAAAATTGTCACAATTTGCTACACCTCTAAAAAAACCTTGTATTCGATTACTACGCAAACAAACACAAATAGATTTTCCCCCGAATTCCCAAAGAACCAATTCAAAGGCTCATCCGTTCCATACCTGGTGCCCTCCTGGCAAATGAGTCGGCGAGCTGTTCGGCGGGTCCAAAATTCGTGACGCGCTGGATGGCCGTCCCGATGGCGCTCGATGAGGGGGTCAGCACCTTCGGCGGATCGAAAGAGTCCGAAGGATCAGCCTTCCACATCGCCTTCCCATCAAACAAGATCTGCCTCGGCTGCAAAATCGGCTCGGGGTCGCCCGGCCTGTAGCGGATCACGAATTTTGAGGTCTAAATCCAAAAGTCATCGATATGAAAATGTTGGCTACCATCTCATAGATCTCGTTGTTGACGCGGGCGACGAGGGTGAAGGGTCTGTAGAGGGCAGGCCACGAAAGGTTGGCTTTCTCGCCGGGCTTGGCGCCAATCACGACGTTCGCGCCGCCGGCGATAAATTGGAGCTCTTTGGGCACGGATGAAGATTCGCCACCAGAGGAGCTGGAGGATGACGACTAGAAAAAAACAGATATGTAGCTAACTTATTGTAGGTACCACTTCAGCAGTGGTAGAGAACTGAAGTTTGCGAGGCGGCTGTGGGCGCAACGGAGTCTAAAAAGAGAGTTGGGAATCATTGTGCTAAAGACAAATACCTGGGAACCGGGCGAGACGAGACGAGTCTCGCTATGCTGGGTGGGGGCGGGAGAGATGAGACCCTGACGCTCGCTGGCCTGCGTCTTGGCAACCGGAGAAGGGACGCTGAGATGGTAGATGGCCCGTGTGTTCTAAAGCAATAATTGATTTTACGTAATTGGTGAATACCAACCGGCGAAAGGCTGCCGGAACGCGATTTCGGGGGAGAGTGGCGACCAAAAGGAGTTGCCGAGTGGTGCCCGAGGCTCGGCGTCGGTTGCGGCTCCTGGATGGTGGAACCGAGACGCTGGTAAAAACTCGTATCGCTAAGTCTCCACGGAATCACCTGAAACTCGGGCGCCAGATGGCTGTTCGGAGTCGACGTGAGCGGGCCAGTAGATGGTGTCGACGAAGCGGAGGAGGAATGGGGCGCAGTGGAGCCAGCAGAAGATGGTTGCATGCTTGGCGAGCAGTAGACAGAGTCGGTGCGACGCTTCGAAAGAACAGCCTCCTTCTGGTCGGGGGTTGCAGAGCGCTTGCGCCTAAAGCAGGAAAATAAATTTCGCTAGTGCGGCCTACTGTTCCGACGATGGTTTGTGGCCGGGAAGTGCGGATCGGGAAGGCTGCGTCTTGTCAGGAGTCTTGGAAGAGAACATCGGGCCCTTTGTCAGTGGCGAAACCGGGCGACGCGGGGCACAAGAGGACGAGCCGGGCTTGGTCGAATGCTTGCCACGGCAGGTGCATAGCTTGCTCTGAAATTGAAACATCCGCACAAATTATATGGGTTCTCAACTGTTAGCGGAAAACCGCTTGCCGCTTCAAAGATATTAAAAAACCGACAACTTTAGGTTTTTGGCCAAGGACTGCATCTTCCTTAATTTTTTAAATGTTTTCACGGCCCTCTAGAAATCAAAACTGCTAAAGCGGTAAAACCCCTAGAAAACGCTAAATTCCTGCAGGGGTACGTATCGGCAAGATAGTTTTTCCACCCCCGCTAACAGTGTAGGACTATGACGTTATTTTACCGCACCTCCTGCTTGACGAGATCACAGTCGGGCCGATGGTTGGCCAATTGCTGCTTGGGACCAAGGGTGGAGATTCCGCGAAATTTTGAGGCAAGCTCGGCGTTTGTCTCAAAGCTCCTAAAAAGTAAAAAAAAAACAATGCTTTGCCTGTAGAGTCAATTTACTCGGGTGCAGTGGTGTACATCGTGCTGCCGGTACGGGATGGCGACGGGTCGAAAAGCGATGGCTTCCTCTTACGGCTGGTACCGGGAGTGGCCGAGTTCGACGAGCGGGATTTATTTCCGGGCGAGGGGCTGATGTCCGAGGCGTTGCCGGAAGGAGCCCCGTAGTTGCGCACCAGTTGGCGAAGGCCTAATTAATGACAGTGTATTTTTATAGATCGTCACATACTGGAATGGCCATGGTATGTAGTGTTGGCCACACTGGGCGGTGGGATCTCTTCGTCACGGCCGCGGAACGAGACAGAACGAGAGCGCACACGACTAGAAAAAAGGAAAGGACGTGAAGCTGACCGGAACTTACGGCTTGTTGCTGAAATGCGGACGCTGGTAGCTGGCAGCGACACGACGCTGCATGTGACCCATGACAGATCCGCCGCCAGACACGGCCATCGGCGAATGCGAGGTAGGCGATTTGGAGACAGAGCTGTAATCTAAAGTGCGAAGCAAGGAAATTTATACCGGGAACCGCGAGAACGATCTCGAGAGCGACTGCGCGAACGCGAACGAGCGGTCGACCCATCCGTGCGGCCGTTCGAGAAAGATCCGGAATGAGCCGTCGAACCCGATCCGGTCTCGGGCGAGCGGGAAACGGATCCCGACCCGGAATTTGAGGACGAGGTGCTGGACCCAGAGCGGCTCGTTGAGCGCGAGCGGGAACGACTATTCGAGCTCACTCTAAAAAAGGAATAGTAGAATAGTAAGGTAAGGGAAATAGGAACGCATAGGTATTCAAAAACATAGTTTACACACCCAGAGCTGCTCTGCGACGAAGAAGATGCGGAGGTCTGTCCACTTTGCAGCGAAACACCGCTCCCTTCATCTTCGCTGTCATTCTCTTCTGAGCTTTCAATCATCACTTCCCGATCCTTGTCCACATCCCAGCGCGACACCGATGCGTCCAACGCCTCCAGCATTTCGATGCGACGCATCTTTTCCGGACCACGGTACAAGCGACGGTTGATAAACTTCGCACCCTAAAAGGCAAGCATGAATGAAAGAGATAAGATTTCGTTTACCGTATCCGGGCAAAGCCATGGCGCATTCAGGGGGATGGCCCAGTCACGGTAGATCTCGATGCGATCACCGTCGATCCAGACTTCCTCGTTGAGGCCGAGGCGAGCCTCCAAGTCCGGCACCGCGCCCACAGAGACTGCGGCACGCGTCTCGTCAGCGCGCCTGGAAAATATAGATAAAAATTCTGGATTGTTAGTGGGTAGTGGGGCTATTTACCGTATCCGTTGATAGCCACATTCTTAGCATTTTCTAACGTATTTTCATAGTTTTAGTAGATTTTCTTAAAAAAGTCACAGAGAATTAGAACACTTAAAATCGCCTTGTAATTTTTAAACATTATCATATGTCTAAAATCCACCAAAAGCCCAGAACCAAGAAAAGCTGGGTAAGAAAGACAAAGAAAGCAACCCACCAAGACAATTCAACAGATCGCGACGTGTCGTGGACAAAGGCCGTCGGCTGCTCGAGCCAATCGCTCAGCAGCTGGCGAGTAGCGTTGAAGTGAACGACAGACACCTCCTAACACAAAAACATTTACCTACAACTAACTATTAATATACCTTTCGGATGATCGCATCTTTCGACTTGATGATGCGGTGGCAGCCGGCAATGCTGATGCCCCGGGTCGCATCTTCGAACGTGCCTGGGCTGATATTGGGTTCGGCAATCGATTTTCCCGACGACCAAAGAGACGAGCCCCACGCATCCTAAATAACAGTATACGGGCAATAATACGAATAATACGGACCTTAATGGTTGTCGTCCTCTCGACGACGATGGCCCGATCGGACATGTGGACGACAAAATGGCTCTCGATATACTCATCGTTGACGGTGCTCAAATGACGTGACGTCTGTAAATACCAAATCTCGAGAGACGCAATCCCTCAAAGACCCCATTGTAAGCAGTAGCAATCTCGTCTCGCATCCTCCTGCCCGACACCGAGCCACAGACAATCGCTTCGACGCATCGAAACTGAGCCTGACCCGTCGGGGTCACCAGATAGACGTCTTGCAGGGTACGGATCTAAAACCTCTTATTAAGCCTTAGAGGTTGAGGGCGCACCTTCACAGGGTTCTGAAGCTGTGGCCCGACCTTGGCCCTTGACGGAGACTGGGCCGCCTGTTGCTTCTGATTCTCGACCAGGGCAGCGGCCGCTGCATTTTTGATCGCATAACGGTACAGCTCCAGGCTTTTCTAAAGCAATTTACTATCATCTTCAGGAAAAATACCGCCGTTCCATCCTGACCGCCGCGCGTCTGCTCGAGATCGTGGTAGGTATTGTCGATTTCGGGCCGACCGACTGCAAGTAAAGGTCGGAGACCCTCGTCGTCCAAGTTCTGAAAGTTATTTTGATAAAGATCGCAAGCATGTTCTTTTAGAATTGTCCTAGAGGGCGCATAACTACGTGAAACAGAAAAAGTGCGAAAGGCCTACAGGATCGGCCATCCGCCAAGTGAACACGTTCGGGAAATGGCACAATTTAGTCGAGACTTGTAATCGGAACAATATGCAAAAATCGGTAACATTCTATTACTCCGTTTGCTCCCCAATTCTGAACCCTGCGAATCGTTCAGTCAGTCATCACCAAAAACAGTTGGAGTATTGCTTATCCACTCCCAAATGTTCCGACGCGATGACCAGTCGTATAGTTTTATCGTCATGGTAAGCACAGGCAGCAAAATCACAGATTGATATGACTGGTATTGAAAAGACAGCAGGATTCGCAAAACATACAAACATGCATAATCGTTGGAAAGTTAAATAGGCTTCTTTAGTTGTCCGGGAGAAGCGACTTGAGGTCTACCATGGCTTCATCAAAGACCAGCTGCAAGGATCGTGGCATCTTTTCTCTCATGAATTCGGCGTTTATTGCGACCTCTCTCAGACCCTAAAAATAAGAGGATGAAGCGTAGATCTACCGGTACCTCGATTGATTTCTTCTTAGCTCCAGTGGCTTCCACAGTAAGTTGCCCCTTGAACAGATCGATAATCTACAAAAAAAAAAATTTTAACACAACGCCATGGAATTACTTGAACGAGTGCTTCGATGCAAGGTCGTTGATGAACCTTCGTGGCCATGCACCTTCGGAACGAGAGGAGGAAGGGAACAGCGCGTGCAAAGTTCCAAGCGCGCTGCAAATTCAGGACTTGGATCAGCTGGTTTGTCGCAGCAACGCGTCTAAAAACGGTAATCATGCTAACAATAAATAGAATACCCAGATTTGAAAAACTCTGTGCCGTCCCCTCCATTTCGCATCTCCTCGGTTAGGTGCTTCAACGTGCTCTTCTGCGCTGACAGGGTAGCGATAATCGCCCGATGAGGGCTAGCAAGTTGATATTCGTAGAGAGACTATAAGCAAAGATAAAAACCTCAAACGAATGCTAACCGTTTGCTGTTGTTGTACATTGGAAGCACTGCCGGTCTTCTTCAGTGGGTTGATTGCGTCAACGCCGCCATTTTCCGAAAACGCCCGCAATGCAGGGCGCAGTGGCCGGTGTTTCTAGGAGCAATTGGAGCTGAATGCAGCAATTTACCGGGATTGCGGTGCCTTCGGAGACGCTGGCTCTGGCGATGAGTGAGGTGCGAGTGGTTTCACGCGGGGCAGGCGTCAAAGTCATCCCGGCTAAACATTGCAAGATTTGGAGATTGAAAGAACTCGAATAAAGTGTAAAAGAAGTAGGTGCTAATGCACTTGGGGGGGGGGGGCAGTTTGGATTTTGACTACGAGACGCTCCAAATGCCGTTTTTTAAACTCGACGCCTCTGGAGAAGCTAAGCTAAGCCTAAGCCTAGGCTTAGCTTCACACAAACGAGTAGCCTGAGCCAAGCTAGGCTTAGTTCTAAGCTAACCCATAAATGACCCCATTTTGACCTCGTAAGAATTTGAAGCTCAAGATAAGCTTAGCGTGGGCTTGGGTTTAAGCCTAAGCCTAAGCTAGGCTTAGTTAAAGCTAAGTTAAGCCTAGGCTTAAGTTGAAAACCAAGTAGCTTAACCGGAGCTCCTCGTAACCCCTTACTACCAATTTTGGACTGCCCCCACCCAACTGCATTAGCACCAAGAAGTATATTTGTATCCCTAGCTTAGGTGTCGCATATTTGACGTATCACAAATACCCGGTTTCCGCCCCTTCACCGAACCCCCCCGGAATACAGCCCACCCCCCCCCCCCCCCCCCCCCAAAATTCACCCCCCCCCCCCCCTCCCGAAACCCCACTGGTTAAGTACCCCCCCCAGGCCCAAACCCCTCCAAAAAACCCCAAAACACCCCCCTAAAACTTACAAACCCCCCCCCCACAAAACCCCCCCCAAAAAACACAAAAAAACATCATTTTCCCCCCTTCACACCCCCCATAGGAACACCAACCCCCCCAAAAAAAAAAAACCCTTCCTTTTAGATTCCCCCACCCCCCCCCCCCCCCCAAACCCCACACCCAATCCTCCCCCCCCCCTTTTTTTTTTTTTTTTTTAATAATAAATTAAAATAATTAATTAATTATATTAAAAATATAACAAAAAAAACCTGGTAAGGGGCGGGGGAAAAGAACGGGGGAAAAAGGAGGGGAAGGGGGGGGGACCCGGGCGGGCCCCCCCCCCCTTTCTATTTAAGGACCCCATTTCAAAATTAAAATTTTAAAATTAAAAAAAAAAATTAAAATATTTTTTTTTTTTTTTTGGTTTTTTGAACACTCTAATTCCGAAACGAAGAGAGTCTTTTTTTCCCTTTTCCCTTCGTATTGGTTACGGGAAAAGGAAAACAAACCAACATACAACACCTCTTTTTTTTTTTTATTTCTAGAGTGCGCGCAAGGGCATTCGAATACGATTCCAAAAGGCCAAAAAAGGAAAGAAAAGAAAAACTTCCCCGGCGAAAATTAAAAATGCGAAGAACGCGATGCACCTACTGACAAAACTGAACATAGGAGCCCCGCGTTGTTCTTCCTACTGTAGAAAATGGATCCCGGAGCGATTCGTAGTTAGCCTGATTTTCTTTCACAGGGAAAAGTCCGCCAGCTTCACGGGACCACAGCGCCGCCCGTGGTCGCGGAGAAGCGCGCGCGCATTGACCGCGTATTCCTTGCGTGGCGCGCGATCCGGCCGCGCGCGGCCGTATCGGTACCGGCCCGTGTGGCCGCGGCGCTGCTGTCCCGTGTGAAAGTAAGTAGCTGTATGAAGTAAAACGAGAACCGTTAGCAATAAACGGTAGAGCTGAATACAAAAAACGACGAATTAAAATAAAACCGCCATATTTCAGGCAGGGACACCTCCAGCGCATTCCCGACATGAAGCAGGCTGCTTCTAAATGGCTGCAATGCATAGTAGCGGCAGTCAGGGGCGTAGCCAGAAAAAAAATTCGGGTGTCCGAAAAATTTTTTCGAAAAACTCAAAAAAAAACGAGAAATCAGCGCCGCAGGCGAAAAATTTTGGGCAAAAAGCTATATAACTCTACAAATACCAGTAAAAACGTGAAAAAATGGGGCCCCACCTTACGCTACGTCCCTGGCGGCAGTAGCATTAATAATAAGCAACATTAAGAGGAGCATTACTTAGCCCGGGGATCCCCGTTCTGCCAGCTTTTCGCCACCTGCCCTCCTGCTTTCCGCATACTGACCGCCAGGTGGCGGCCATCAGGGGAGAAGCTGGCGGCAACGTGGCCAGAACCTGGCGGACTTCTCCCTGTGAATGTTTGCCAAGCCTTATAAGAAGACATATTTGGGCTCTTTTTATCGTTAGTATGCTTATTTTAGATTTAGTTTTATGTAAGCGCTAAACTAGACCTAGCCCTGAGCTTTTCTCCAAACCCAGCCGCAGGCTAGCTTAGGGCCCGTTGAGCCAGTTCTTGAGCGGTTTTTTGTTTCCTATGGAAAATTAAAGCACTAATAAGTTTAAACTGGGTTTCACCGGAATCCTAAACTCCTGCTGTTTGTCCGAAGTGTAGGGCCTTGGTTTCGATGCCTTTTTCGGTACTTCCGTGTTAGCGGGAGAGCAAGGCAATTTTTTTTATGTGCTCATGCTCCGTTAATGGTTTTAAAATTCGGGTAGGGTCTGGGAAACCTCGAACATGCAACATGGTACCAAAACTTGTTTAGCTCCGCTGTTTTCTCCTGTTTTCTTCACACAATTCCGTGAAACTTTTAAATTTTCTCTTTTTAGGCCCGTATCATGGTTGACGCGCTCAACCTGAACTTCAACCACACCACCGCTTCGCCGCGGAACGCCGAGCCGGAGGAGGAAAATATATGGTACGCTGTTTTCCAGGCTATCCCTTGATTTTTCGTCTTTCAGGATCAAGATACTGACGGAGGTGAGCGCCAAGTCGCGGAACACGATGCAGGGCGCCAGCATCATCGTGCTCGGTATTTTTACTCGGCGTTTTTCGATGAATATTGATTTTTCTAGGCGACTCCGCTGCCGGCAAGACATCCCTCCTCTCGAAGCTCGAGAAGGTTGACAACCCCAACAAGGTCCGTATTTTTGTGCTTTTTTTGATTTTTTTTTCGTTTTAGGGTTCGGCCCTCGAATACCACTGCTTGAGCGTTCAACCGGATACGCGGGGCAGCAGTTACGCCTACAGCCTCGGCACCGCGGGAGGTGCCCTCGGGGCCGCCGAAAATTTAACGCTACCGGTACGTTTCCGCGGGTGTCCTAAAAATCGACCCCTCTAGCTTGCCGCAGAAGTGTCAGATTTTGACGATTTGGGCATCTATTGAAAGCTTTCGGCAAGTCGAGAAAACAGGCACTATTCGTTTTTGAATAGAACCATTTTAATTCACGTTTGCGGAGCAAAATCAATGAAAATGCAGTTTTATGCAGGGTCCATTTTGAAGAAATCGTTTAATATCTAGGCGGGCTAAAAACTTTGCAGAACGAAGAGCGCTTGTTTTCTCGCCGTTTCGAGGGCTTTGAATGGTGTAAACTTCCCGATTTTTTGGATAGCCTTGATTGTCGCAGTTAACTTTCTGACGCGCGTCGAAATTCCCGCTTTTCATTGTCAACTTTTACTGTAATTTGTTTCAGCTCTGGGTGCTCGCCGGCAACGAGAAGTTCGCCCCGCTGCTCCGCCACGCGCTCTCTGCCAACACGCCATCCAAGACGGTCGTCATCATCGCCGTGTCGCTGGACAACCCAAGTGCATTTTTATTAGGTGTTGAAAACGCTTTCGTTTTAGGCCCGGTGCACTCGCTACGGCAATGGGCGTCGATCATGGCGAAGGAGATTTCCGGCAAGTACGAGCCGGCGGTGGTCAAGGAGGCGAAGCAAGGTCAAGAGCGATTCTGGCAAGAGTACTTCGAGCCGCTGGAATCGTCGATGACCGCCTCGATAGCGCCGGGACTCGAGGGCACTGGTAAGCTTTTCGTTTAGTCGTTTGGCCCAAATATGGGTGGATTCTTTTCAAGCACACCAGTTCCGACGTTTCTAAACTGTTTTTACCATTCCTAAACGTAAAAACTGCAATTTGGTCTCAAAAATTAACGATTTTGCGGTAAAACTGGCTGATTTCCGATTCTAACCGAGATTTTCTTGGTTTTTATTGATTTCCGCCTAAAATATGTTGACATTTTGCTAAAAACACTGTTAATAGACTTATTATGACGGAAATAGGCGTTTCTGGACTTCTAGGAAAAAGGTTATAATCTGCCCGATAATGCGAATGACCCATATATGGCATTTCAAATGTTTTCACAAATTTTTGGCGTTTTTTGAAGGAATTTTGCAGGTCTTCTCCCTCTCGAGCAAGGCGTCCTCACGGAGAACTACGGCGTGTCGATGATCGTCGTCGTGACGAAGGCCGACCTGGTGAATGAGAGGAGCGAGCAGGCGATGGACAAGGTGTTGTGCGACGTGCGGCGCTTCTGCCTTCAATATGGGGCCGCGCTCGTCTACACGACGACCAAGAATCCGAAAAATACGCAGCTGCTCGCCAAGGTAAATCTCGATTTTAAAAAAACGGAATTCTCTTTTGATCGACGAAAAATTTCTAGTCTAGGCACTTTTCGACCATTGAGGGCGTTTGAGGAAATTTGAGATTGAGACCTTTTATTTCATCAAAATCCTGCCAAAAAGTGGTTCTTTCGCAAGATCGGGTGATTTTACTCAAAACCTATTAAAATACTTCCTATTAGGTTGCTAGGCATTTCTGGAGTTTTACAAAAGGTTTTTGTTTCCCCCCGAAAATGCCAATGAGCCAACTGTCTTTTTTAGAAATCGATTTCCCAGGAAAATTATGTTGCATCGACGGCTAACTTTCATTTAGTACATCGTGCACCGTGCCTATGGTCTTCCCTTCACCACTTCAGCCCAGATGATCGATCGGGATACAATCTTCGTGCCGGCCGGCTGGGATAGCGAAAAGAAGATCGAGATAGTTAGGGTAAGTGTTATTCTGTGTAAGCTTTAATGGCATTTTCCCATTTCCAGTCGAACATCACCGAGATCGACGTGCTCGAGCCGAATCGTGAGAAGGTGAACGTCGCCAAGGAGCCCGAGGTGATCGCCGAGGACACGCAGGTTTGTTCATTTTCATTTCTGGGATTTTACAGTCTTTTTTTTCAGGCGTTCCTCACACGATTCGCCGACATGTTGGCCAAGGACTCGGCGACGAATGGGCAAAAGAACGTTGATGATGCCGGGACAACGGCTTCCGATTCTCCGTTGGCCAGCTTCTTCTCAAATCTGCTAAAGGTATTATTAACCTTATTCCCTTTTTCCAATAAAAAAAACGAGGCGCGGGATCCGCATTTTGCCGTCCTGCGTTAATTTTTCCGCTCCACCGGCACCTTCACAGAAATCGCGCGCACCTCTATAGCTGCCGCGCGGAAACGCGCAAAAAAGCGTGCTGGACGGCTGAATGTTGAGGGTGGTGCTCGTCGCGCTAAAATTATTCCCGCGGATCGGCCGATTTCTCGAATTTAATGGCCAATTTAATTGTTCTTTTTCAGGACAAACCACAATCAACGCGGACAGCCGCCCCCGTTTCCGATGAACAGCAGCAGGCACAAATCGAGAAGATCTTCCAGGTAAACCGATTTCTAATTTGCGATAATCTGTCGGATTGTTTAGAAAAGCGTAGAGCCGGACAGCGCGGCGTAGGGCAATCGACACGACGAATCAAGGAAAAACAAGAAGAACAATGTCATCATATAAGCCCCCATTTCCCCGGTATCTGATTTCTATGCTTTTGATTTTGATTAGCAATTCGAAGAAGCCCCGTCTCTTGTTATTTCTGGTCCTCTTATCCGCGTTGTTTCAGTTCCATTTCTCCATCCGCTCTGCCCAAACTTCAGAAACGTGTATGTCCCGGGCGTGACTTTTCCCATTGATGTGCAGAGCTTTGACAATGCCTGATCTAGTTTTTGTTTGTGTCCTGATAATAAACTTTTTGCCTTAAATTTTGCCGGGCAACGGCGCCATCAGTCCATGGCGCGCATCCGCACGAGAAAACACAATTCCACCGTGGGAGACGTGGCGAGGGGGGGCGCTGTCCGTCGAATTTCGGCTCGTCTCGCTGAAATGCCGATCCATCCTGGCCGCCGCGCGTCTGCTCGAGATCGTGGTAGGTATTGTCGATTTCAGGCCGGCCGACTGCAAGTAAAGGTCGGAGACCCTCGTCGTCCAAGTTCTGGAAGTTATTTTGATAAAGATCGCAAGCATGTCCTTATAGAATTGTCCTAGAGGGCGCATAACTACGTGAAACAGAAAAAGTGCGAAAGGCCTACAGGATCGGCCATCCGCCAAGTGAACACGTTCGGGAAATGGCATCTTTTCTCTCATGAATTCGGCGTTTATTGCGACCTCTCTCAGACCCTAAAAATAAGAGTATGAAGCGTAGATCTACCGGTACCTCGATTGATTTCTTCTTAGCTCCAGTGGCTTCGACAGCAAGTTGCCCCTCGAACAGATCGATAATCTACAAAAAAAATTTTAACACAACGCCATGGAATTACTTGAACGAGTGCTTCGATGCAAGGTCGTTGATGAACCTTCGTGGCCATGCACCTTCGGAACGAGAGGAGGAAGGGAACAGCGCGTGCAAAGTTCCAAGCGCGCTGCAAATTCAGGACTTGGATCAGCTGGTTTGTCGCAGCAACGCGTCTAAAAACGGTATTCATGTTTTGTTTAAATAAAAATAATTAACTTTGAAAGTGGCGTCTTAATAAAATGAGTGGGGGAGGCTCTCTCCCGGCAGGCCACGCCCCATCTCCCCAGCCCTTTTCCCGCGCCCAGATCGCTTTTTTCAGTTGTTTTAATAGTTTTTAATTATTTTAATTAATTATTTAAGTCCTTTAAAGTATCTAAAGCCTTCAGGAAGGGGGGGGGGGGGGAGGGAGCGGAAAGGGTAGCCCGAACACGAAGATTTAAAAGCTGAATAACGCGATGCACCTAATGACAAAACTGAACATAGGAGCCCCGTGTTGTTCTTTCTTCACGGTAGAAAATGGGTCCCGGAGCTATTCATCTTCAGCCGATTTTTCCTACGGTCAAATTTTTATTTCTGGCTAGTCAACTTTCTCATTTTGTTTCTGTAACTGCTTTTTGAATTTTTCGATTATTTTTCTAACACTTTTGATTCCAGGTAGGATGAGTCGCTTCGCTGCGATCTTCAAAGAGCAGCGGCTCCAACAAGACAAGGTAACCTTACAGTCCCCGTTCGCTTTAAAAACATTACAGATGGCTCCTATGCAGCCGGAGATCCGCACTCTATGGATCCATCCACGCGTCCCGACCATCATCATTCCGGCACTAATCGACACAGAAGTTTATCGCTTCACCCCGGTATGAATTTTTAAAGTGTTTTGTATGTTTTTCCAGTACACTAAGAAGGAAAACATCGCACAGAAGAAGGCCGCTGCAAGCGTCTTCTGGGAGACGATCTTGTCGAAGAAGGAATTGGTTCCCGCCGTCGACGGAACGTTGAACCGCGACCACACGTGCCACTTCTGTTATGGGAAGGTAACTATTTGGCGTCTTGCTTTATGGTGTGTTAGGCCCAAAGCGAAGCGATCAAGCGGGGCAATGTCGACTTCTTTCGCGAATCCGATGGACCCTGGCGCGGGCACAAGCTACGCGACATCCGCGGCCTGATAACGTGGGTGTATTCGCTAGGATTTATTATTTTGTTTTATAGTTGTCCTGTCCTCTACCGCATGGAATGCTTCGCCTGCGGCGCCACCGGCATCCGTGCACATACTGTGTCGCACTGCCCATTCATCGAGGAGTACCGCCGTAACCAGGCTCGCCGCATTAGCACTAATAGGCGTTGTAAATAGTTTGTTAACGCTAACTTCTTTTGTCCCCCCGACCCACTGACCCTTCCAAGTTTGTCATGTTGTTACGTTCCATGCCCTGCACCCCAGTTTTTTGCACTGCCCCTTCCCCATGTTTGTTATGTTGTTGCGCTTGGTGCGCGTTTTTTGTGATAAAAAATTCGCACTCTTATGAGCGTGGTAATTGATTTACGGCAAGCACAAAGAATATTTCGAGGCCTGGGCGGTCGTCTGGACGAGTTTGAAGGCATCGGCAAAAGTGCAGCCCTAGACCTGCGCATGCCTCGCACGTCGCTGATCTACAAAGCGTAATTATTGTCCTTCCACTGCTGCTGAGGATTTCGGGGTTGAGGTTACGGTTATTTGTGGCACCCCCAGCTAAGAAATCCAGGTGCTGTGGGGCGCGGGTCGAACCGCCAGCTGCCCTTAGCGGGATAAGTGGGGTCCCCCTCTGTGACGTAAGGCCCGAGCATTCCCGCTAATCACAATATTGGGCCCGTTCACGCATCCTGTAATGACCGAGGATTAGGGTCAAAAAGCCGCGCACAGACGCTATGAAGGGTTGGCTGACGGTGGTAGCATCTATAGAGCTTTTATGATGCATCCTTATAGGGCTTTTATTATGCAAGCTGCTATCTGGGTTGAAGAGGTAGGCAGACTGGTGAGAGGAGCATGGGGCCCGCTTGAAAATGGGTTCACCCTGGCCCAGGAAAAAAAGTGTTGGTGAATGATGTGCGGGATATGCAAAGTGAGAGGGTGGCCCTTTGATCGTGCGGCGCTTGTTCCAAATAACCGGTGGCAGCTGGAGGGTGGGCGACGATCCTTTGCGCAAATTTCGGCACCTTTTTGTGCGCATTGCCGTAGCGGCTGAGGAAGGATTACAGGAAAAGAGAACGAGGAAGGACATGATCAGATTATTTTCGATGCGTTTCTGTACCATTTCCTTAAACGCCATGGCCATTGCGCTTGTTACAAAGTGACACCCCTAAAACAGTCCTTGCTCGCCGGTTTTTTACTTTGCTCGGACTCGAAGGGGCCCCGAGGGACAAGCTGCTTGGCCCTCTGCTCATCAAATTCCCATTCTGTCTATCTGTCTCGACGAGGCGTCAAAAAGATGCTCCACGGCACACCCATATGCAAATGCACCTATCTCTCGTGGAGGTCAATTTGGAAGCGGACGGCTGCCACTGGGTGGGCCTCGTCTTATTTTAGCGACAGCCCGAATCTGCGAGCTGTTGAATGCCACTAAAACCGCACAGCACACCCACACCCCCCTTTACATTTTCCACTTTCAACTCTATAACTTTTTCTGAGAAGATTTAACCCACTGATACAGAAAATAAATTCTTCTCTACTTTTCCATTTCCTGAAAACTACACGGCAACGCCCGGTCGTTGAAGTTGAAAAAATACCAAACAACGGGTACAAGGGCAATTTTCCAACGCCCGAGGCATTTTTTTAATAACTGACTAACTATCAACAACAAACGCACACCTAACACATCAGGCTTCAAAAACTCCAATTACTTATACTTTACTCTTCTCAATCTTTTACGACACAACCACCTCCCACCACCGGTTTTAGATCTACTTTGATTTTAACACGACATTTGGGTCGCATGGTCCGCCTTTTTTCTTCACCATCTTAAAGAAAGTGATAGTATCTTTGATTCTCCAGACTGACATTCCCTAAACATTTTCACAAAAGCAAAACAAAGTCCCTAACCGGGAACCAACCCCTCCCCTTTCGCTAATCCGCCTTAACTACACCACCCACCACCCCTCCCTCGCTCTGAAAGGCCTGAATGGTGTGGACAATTTTTAGCTGTATTCTATAGTTGTTAGAAGCTTCATTCACCAAATCGCACAAAAATTATATATACGATAGAAAATGGGGACACTTTCGTTGTAGAATGTACAGGTCAAGCTGATGAATAGTTGTGTGTGGCAAGGTGGATATGGGCACGGGTAGTTTGATGTGGGAAATGGGGGAGGCGCGAGCACTTCCCGCCGAATAGAATATTATCACAACTTGTTATATGGGGGTTATTTGACTTATTTTTGACGGGTATGTGACCAGAATGGTGGATCCATGGTGGGGCGGGGGTATTTTTTGGTCTAGGATATTAAAGCTGGGTAGGAGAAGCGGACGAGCAAAAAAAAGAGTCATAAGAAAATGCATTGTTCGCTGAAATTGAGAGGGTAAAGAGTGAATTATGGAGTAAGGCTTCGGTTTAGAGTTCATACGGTAATTTCTTTTTATGGAATACTTTAATAGAATTGTTTTAGGTGAAATTTCGGCGTCTACCATGTTGGCATTGGGTGAACGGGCTGCGGGTGCTTGATGTCGTGGTACAGGAAGGATTCTTCCCCGAATTCCCCTCCGCCTGCGCCAACACCAAGAAGTTGGCCGGGCAGTGATGGCGATGAACAGCCCGACATTCCGCCGCCTCCGCTCTCCACCACTAAATAGGAAACGTTAGGAAAATTTGATCGAACTAAGGGCATGCGAGCAGGGATTCTTACTTTGCTGTGGGATAAGTGGCGTGCCGTCGGGCGCAATCGGGAATGGCGGGATTTGGGCTCGGTCGCCGCCGTAGAGATCACCACAGTAGAAACCCATCGGCGGGCCGAAGAAGCCGGCGGGTCCACCCTCTGAAAATGGCAGGCTAGCGGGGACCATTTGCGATGGGGGGCCTGGGGTACTTGAGTATTTTAATACGTTAAAACGGGGGGGGGGGGCACCAAAATTTTTTCCGAGGGAGGCTCGATTCTTATCCAGATTAGAGATCTGTGTGCACACCGTTTTTAACTACTCCTGAACATAAAAGCCTTTCAAAAATCCATTTTTCGACCAAAATGGCCAACTCAACCCAAAACGGGTTAGCGGCTACGCCCGCTAACCCCGAAATTCGGAGTTTGCAAACAATCTAACTTTTTTAAAAAGCTTTTCCAAAATTAAGTTTTACTGAAAACCGTGATAAAGCGCTTCATAATCGATCGATAGGCCAGCCTTGAAAAAATCAAAAAATCCATCCCCCGTTAATATCAAGTACCGGGGGGTAATTTCGTCGAATTTCCCGGTGTTTCCTAGTCCATCCTAATCCCTATCCCGTTACCGTAGCCCCGGATGGTCTTTGCATGCCTTAATGGGGCTTATCGAAGGCTTATGTCCCCGCATTCGCCCCGAAAAGGGCCCAATTCATTTGTATACGGTGTGATGGGCATGGAATAGGGCTTCCTTTTGCTTTGTGGGCCCGACAATTTGTAGGTACCGAATTCGAGGCTAGCAAGAAAATTATACATACCGTGTGCATAGACGTCGTTTAGCATATCATCCCTGCCTCCTCGACTCCTGCGGGCCGGCCGGTAACCGCCGAATCTCAGCTGCTTCATCCGGCGCTCCTTTGACCGTCGATTTTGGAACCACACCTGGAAATGAGAACCTGTAAGTGGCTCGAATTTTTAGAATTTGGAATTTTCAGGATCGCAATTTGCAAAATATTTGGTTTTCAGGCTTGAATTTTGCAAATTTAATGGTTTGTGGATCTCGAATTTGCAGAATTAGAATTTTTTTAGGGTATGGAATTTTCTGCACCTCCAATTTTCAGGATCCCCAGCTTGCTAACATAGAATTTGCCGAATTTTCATAATCTCATTTTTTAGAACCTCGAATTCTCCTAATATGGAATTTGCACTGTCTGTCATCTGTCAGAAACTCGCATTTTTGAGAATATCGAATCTCCCGAAATCGACATTTGCATATTCTGGAAGCAAGCAGCTCAACCGCCAATTTCAGAAGCCCTAAAACTTGGTCCAGCCCATACGTCTACATTCAGAAAATTCGGTGTTCTGAATATCCAAAATTTTAATAGGCAGTCCTCAATATCCGGGGCCTTATTTACCGCGTTCACGTCTCATATTTTCATTGCGTAATCTGTGCCATGCCGGCAAGCCTGTAATTACCCCCTTTCCTCTAGAGGAGTTCTCCATGGCCCCCTCCGCTATAATGCGCCCCATTTTATTGGATGACCATGGGAGGGTGGGGGACAGCTGGAAGGAGGGGGAGATGTTTAGAGGGGCACGGCAGGGCAGCCAGGGCTACGGTAATCGAATCGAGGAGGGGAGGAGGCCCCGAGGGAGGGAAAGGGCCCAACCCAGGGAGGGGCAGGTGAATTAAAGGGCCGGGAAATGAGCGGTGGAAGAGGGCCTTCTCTCTCTCTCTCTCTCTCGCTCTCTCCCTCTCTCTCGCTTCATTAGTCACAGAGAAAAAGAGGGAGCGTGCGAGAGAGCGAGAGTGAGAAAGCGAGAGACAACATAACAACAATGAGTAGAAAAATTAACTTTCTCCGTTACTCCCAAACCGATTACGCCATCAAATCGCAACCCCCAAAAACGTCCGTAATACCGTTTTTGAGACAGCTGCTTCCCCCATCGAAAATACTGAAAAATTCAGAGTTTTTTGGGGTAGATCAAGGCAGGTGAATTTGACCGCGAAAACACACCCGAGACCTCACCAACTACAAAAACAGAATTCCCTAACGATCTCGGCTAGCTGGCAGTTGCTAGAAATTCCTCGATGTTCTCAGCTAGCTGGTCCATTTTAGAAATTCCGCCATAATCAGCGCTAGCTGGCCACTTTTTCGAAAATCCCAAATGATTACCGCCAGCTGGCCCTTCTCCAAATTCCCCAAGGATCTCAACTAGTTGGCCCCTTCCAAAAGTTCCCGCCGGGTCTTTTGAAAGGGGTTGTTTGAGTCAACCGGTTGGGATGAGGGTCTAGGGGGTGGGTGGTAGAGGGCCCTTCGACATAATTGAATCGGGTGGCGGGCAGTGGGCCCTCAGATCTGCCTACTTGATAGGGGGGCAGTTGCCCTAGAGGGCCCATAGAGGGCCCATAGAGCGGGCCCAACACACGGGCCACTGCGTATCGCCTTTTGAATGCTTCCGACAAACTTCAAACGATTCGATGAGTGGTGACAAAATCGGATGCGATAGAGCGAGAGAGAGAGAGAAGGGAGAGAGAGAGAGAGAGAGAGACTACCCACCTGTATAACCCTCATATTCAACCCAGTCTCCTGGGCCAACTGCTCCCGAACGTGTCGCGTCGGCTTTGGCGTGGTGGCGAACGCGTTTTTTAGCGTCTCAAGCTGAAAATCAAAATTAAATCTATCCAATTTCCCCCCAAAAATCTCTGCTAGCCTGCCCGGCCCACCTGTTTTGCCTTGATCGTCGTCCTGGGCCCTCTTCTCTTCGCATTTCCCTCGCCGTCCTGCTTCGACGCGTCGTCCACCGGATTCTCGCCATTTTCCAAGCCTTCTGGGATCTGGGAAATAGCATTTTAAAGGGACATAGAAGCCATAGAAAAATCGGACAAAGTCTCTTGCTCATTCCTTTAAAACACTCCCATCTACCGGCACCCACCTCATCCCCACAGTCGTTATTCTCCTCATCGCCGTCCGAGCCGCAATCCGAACCCCCGTGGGACCCTGAAAAACAGGAATTTTGATCTTCAACACTACAAAGACTAAAACAATCCATTCTACAATTCCCCCAATGCTCTCTGCCAGCTTGCCCACCCAAAATCACAGCCCTTCCCCCGTTCGCAATCTAATTATGGCCCCCGTTCCGTTTATTGCCTATCCACACGTAATGGCAGGACACGGGGGATTGGACTTTCTAGGAGAGCGGAAATTTGCAAAATTAACTGAATATTCATTTCTTGAGGTTTTCAAAAATTACTCAAGAGCTAATTTTTGTGGCTCTTTTAGGGCCTTTCCCGTTAACGGGGGGGGGGAACCAACTTTTATATAAGTCTAGAAATGCCTAGTAACATGATCAAAAAGCCGAAAATTTGGGAAAAACGGGCATTATTGGTCGAATAATTGGCTTTTTACCATTTTTAGTAAAATTTGCAAGTTTTTAGGTTTAATCGTAGTAAAGGACAGTTTATCAACATTTCCGCAATTTACATTTGAAAAATTAGATCCTAATAAAAAAATTTTGCCCCTCCCCCCCGATAATGGGAAAGAACCCAAAAATCCATTTTCTTGGCTTGCCTCTGCTCATGTCCCTTTAAAGCTAAGGAATCGGTCCTCCTAGGGGGTAAACATTTTTACGGTTTCCGTTGTGGGGTGTGTGTTGTGCGGGTGCCCCTAGAAGATGGCTTAGAATTGTGTGTGATCCAGGATGTGCCAGATGGTTGGGGCTATCATGGATGGTGGCTGGGTAGAGGGTAGAGGCCTATTTGTTGGATAGAGGGGGCTGAGAGACCGTATTGTCTTCCAGCTGACCCATCCATTGTATAATCCATTTTGTGTCTCGGCCACGGTTCCGGGTATTCAGCGCGCGAAATTAGGCATCAGCACCGTCTTCAGAAATGTTTTCAAGGGGGGCAAGGGTTCGATTCCTGTGAGCGGAAAAATACTATAAATTCTTTTAAAACATCTGAACTCAATAAAAAACCTCAGGAATTTTTATAATAGACAAAACTTCTTTATTAAACTTATATTTTATTAAAAAAAACAGCAAAAAGAATAGCAAATTTCGGCCAAAAATTACCATTTTCTACCAAAATGTCAAATTTTGCATGTTTTTAAGGTAGTTTTCTACCTAAAATAAAGCTAAATTATACTAAAAAACGTTATTAAACGGTTTACTGTCATGTTACCAGGTATTTCAGGACTTACAGGCAAAAAACTAGGTCCCTCCCCTCCCCCCCGCTAAGGCTAAAAAATAAAATTTTCAATTTTAAAAGTTCTAACTTTTCATTAAATAAGATTCGCTTCCAAAAATTGTTTTTGCAGTAATAAAAGCGATATTCAACCTTTCAAATAAAAATCTGACGTTTTTTCACTTTTCCGTGATACCCCCGGCATGCCCTTCCCCCGAAAAACGTGAGTCCATCGATGCCACAAAATCCCCCTTTTCGAACCCCTTTCCTTTTCAAAAATCGTGCTGTTCGTATTGTAAGAAGTGAGAAGGGGCCAGGCGCCATTCTCATCCAATCCGCTCAACCAAAACATCCCCCACACACACGGCGCGCCGCCCGCCTTTTCCCAGGGCCCAGTGCAAAATAGAGGCAACAAGGAAAGCGAATATCGCTCTCGAATTGTAAGAAAATAAAGTATAAAGCGTAATCAAAGTAGTAAAAAGCACAATACCATTTCTGCTCTGGGCGGCCGTTTGCGGGTGCGGTGTTTGCGAGCCGTTCGATAGCGGGCCGGGCGTCGACATGGCGGCGGGGACGAGTTGGGCCAGCTGAAAACAGAGATTTCTAACTTCGTTTTAGCTACTTAATTATTTTTATTTAGTTTTCGCTAGATTTTACTATTCCTTTACGCCTATTACGGCGCGTAATCTATTGTACTTTGCTTCAAAATCTTTATTTTCCTGTATTTTCTATTTTTTATGGCTTTTGTGCACAAGATCCTAGAGTCTAGTGTAGCCTACAAGACGCTACGACGATTACAACGCGTAATTTTTTTAGATTTTATGCCATTTTTGCTTTTCTAACTAGAGAATAAACGCTAAAACAATCAAATTCGGTACATACCGCCACGGGAGTACTTGGCGACGCGACGTGCGTGTTCAGAAAATCCTGCTGGCAGACGAATCTCGCATCCCCGACGACGTACAGCTAAAAATAAAATATATTCTATATCCATGCTTTAGGATGTGTTTTTGTGTGTTTTATCGGCGTGGCCCCCTTTGGTGTGGATGGATCGGGCGGCCGGGTGTGCTGCACTTGGCATTATGCAGATCCACCACCCACAGCCCTCCTCTATAGCCACTCGGGCTCGGATTTCCGGGCGGCACCAACCAGAAAAAAGTGCGCGTGCTTGGCGCCCGGGGATCGATTGGGCGGTGGAGTTTAAGGACTTTTTGATGGCCATCTACAGGTAGAAGATGAGGAAAGAAAATGCTCCTCATCGATATATTTTTTTAAAGGATTGGCGAGCCAAAAAAAATAATTTTTGACGGAAAATGCAATGAATGCATAATATACAGGTGTATAGGGTCGTGACTCGTAACGTAACTCGGCGCTAAAGGCGGGATTTTGCCATTTTTGCGCTTCAAATGTATTTTGAAATTTAGTTAGCGCCGTGTACCAAATTCGCCAAATTTCTGAATACCTTTAATACAAAACTTGCTCAATTTATGACCCCCAGAATTTTTAGATGCGGAAAATACAAAGTGCGCATAGCATAAAAATGTCTCGAGTAGTGCCCCGTACTGGATTTTGTAAAATTCAGCCCTTTTCACCATTTTTACGCTTGTATCTTTAAAATTCGCCAAAACTTTCCACGCCCAAGACCACCCGGTTGGATCTTTCTTGCAAAACCAGGAGGCCATATTTCCCCAAAAACCCTCGAAAACCGCATAAAAACCGGAAGTAAATCAATATCGGCCGACGCCTGGCAAATTCCCAGGGGCACCTGGGCAAAACTTCAAAGAATTCCCCCTTTTTCGGGTTTAAAAAGTGGTTTAGAGCTCTTAAAAAAATTAGGAACTACTTGTAGGCCTAGAAAAACGCTCTTAAAATCTATTATTTACAAAATATAGCCTTTTCTCAGCGAAAATCCAAAGTTTTAGGTCTCTGGGGAGTCGTGAATCAAAGTCTTCTTTTATCTCGAACTCCGCGGGGTTTCCCACCGGAAAAAACCTATTCCAGGATTTAATAAAGCAATATAAACGTTTAATAAATCTTTAAAATACTGAAAAAGAGCTTAAAGTTGAAATACGGTAAAATATCGAATTTTACAGATATAAATTGTATAATTTTACCTGTTCGCCGGTGTCCAATTTTCGGTGGCACATCACGCATTGAAAGCACTCCACGTGGAATACCTAAAATAAAAATATAGGTAATAAATAAAGTTTAATAAAAGCCGATACCTTTTCCCTTGCTCGTCTCACCATATCATCTTTTTCAAGATTCCCATCACAGCCCGCACACCGGGTTCCGTAACGTCTAAAAGCCATTTTAAAGGGGCCAGCAAGGACCAGCGGGGCTATGGATTTTCTACAGATTTTGCCGCGACACGCAACGCGGTGGTTTCCTTGCGTAATGGATTGCCGGGCGTTTACGGCCGATTTTATGGGCTTTTTCCGGGCGCGTTGCGTGGCGGTAGCGGAAAAATTACCAAGGCGGTTTTTCGCGCCAATACAAATGTAGTTAGTAGGAAATTATTTATTTTTTTATACTGTGGTCTATTATCAGTATAATTTATGGCAAAAAGAATTTGATATGTATAAAACTACCTGGCAAAATCGATGCGACACAAAATGAGACCATCGCGGGTGAAGCACGACTCGACCATTGGGGAATGGCAATCCGAGCAGCGAAGGCATTCCTCGTGCCATGCCTCAAAATTAGCGCTAATTCCGAGTTACTCCACTTGACGCTCTAGCGATTAATTATAATAAATTTGCTTTTTATTCTCTTTTAATTGATTTAGTCACTTTTCTACATATTTGCCAGTTTATAACACGCAAAACAAAATCTGACTACGCTGGACTCCATCGCGCATCTCTAGGTTCTTTCGCATTAGCGGGGGGAGACCAGAAATTTGTTGTTAAGATCTAATTTTAAATATGAATAACTTCTAAACTTGAAACTTTTGGGTTGAACCAATCAGGGGTTGCTAAATTTTTTGCTATTGCTAAAAGTAAAAACCAAAACCAAAACCAAAAATGGCCGTTTTGAACAAAATTTCGACTTTTGGAAAGCTTTTAGATAGTTTTTCTGGTTGAAATATATTTTATTTTATTAAAAACATGATCAAAACACTTCCAATTAAGTTACAAGGCATTTCTAGACGTATACAAAAATGCTTGTCCCCCATTAGGCTAGCAAAACGAAAGTTCGCAATTTTTAGCTGCAAAGGCCGATCCAAAAAAGATCCTGTCCGTCCAAAAATCAGCTGCCCAACTGTTATGGGCTTTTTTCTAAAATAGCTCGCGCGCACCTGCAAAACTTTCCCCCATAAAAAAGTTGCAAAAAAAAGGCGCGCCCGTCGGCAGGTGGAATCTCGAGTCGGGTTTGAACGGCTCGACAGGATTTCAGGGTTTTTGTTGGATGAATAACAGCTCAAAATAGAGTTCTAGGGATCTTGGGAGTGGCTTAATGATAGTAAATACGTAAGTAATATAGCGATACCTTTCCAAGAACGTGATAAACATATCGGTCGAGGATCGGGAGTTGACAGGCGGCGCATGAGGACAACTCCATCCCACAACCCGAGCCCAGCTGGCTAGAGGGGCGTCATTTAGAAAACGTAAAGGTAAAAAATAGACGAAAAATACCAATAACAATGCTAAGATGGTATAAAATTTTTATTTCCACGTCTCCTCGGAAAAAATCGGACTTTTCTCACATTTTCCACTACAAAAAAATACTCTAACTTCCAAAAAATGTGTTAAAATACTGTAGAACACCCACGAAATAATGGCTAGTATTATACAAGCTTAAATTTAAACGACAGAAATACTGCAAACGAATAGAAAACTTTAAAAATCTGACAGCTGCGTTAAAATTCATTAAAATGTAAAATTTGGTAATTTTTGTGGCCACACACAGAACATTTTGAGATGCAGAATTCGCTAGAATACTGTAGAACTCACAGAAAATCGTTTCTGCCCCTGAAAAATGGTAGAAAATAAGGGCCAGAAATATAGAAAAACAAAAAAGCCTTTCATGAGATTTTCATTACAAAAAGCTCTTTAAACTTTTAAAATGTGCTAAATTACTGTAGCACATCCACCTAATAGTAATTGGTATTAAAATGGAAACATTTAGAAATAAAGCAAAATAAAAGCTGTTTTAAAACTTAAACTCTAAAATTAAAGTTTCATGCGGTTTCCTATATAAAACGGCTCGGAAACTGTAGAGCATCCATAAAAACGTATCTACCACCCCGTAGCAGACAGCCGGCATCTGTTTGTGTATATTTGAGGGGAAAGGGGTGTGTATGCGAGCGGAGGGAGGGGGGGGGGGTGGGTACAGTACTCTCACGTAGCCACGCCCCCTGCGCCAATCCCCAAGGGGTCTCCCCCTTCCTCTAAATAATCCCTTTTCTGGGTCCTTACTGGGCCCTTTCTGGGGCCCCACCTGGCCCTCGTCTCGTGGGTGGCTGTACGAGAAGCACCCCTGCACGGCTGTGGTTTGGTTATATCATGGTGTAATTGGATAGACTTCGACGAGAAATTTTGTAAAATCAAAATTGCCTGTGTATTCTCTAGTATTTTCCCGAACCGGGACACGCAACGCGCACAACCCGCGTTGCTAACATCTCAACCGGCTACGCAAGGTCAATACGCGCGTTGCGTGTTGCGGAGCGGCAAAATTAATCGGCAAAATCCATAATGTTTTCTTCCCGGTCCCTTTAATTGGCTTCTTAGAAATTATAAAATACAGCGCTATCCGTATGATTGTAATAATACAAAAATTATCCCTATTTTCGCTGAAAATATATTTTTTAACGAGAAACTACGTAGTTTTACGTTAAATTACTAATTACAATGGATTTTTAGAGTCAATAGGCCTTAATTTTAATATTAGAAAAAGTTTATTCAGAAATAGACACTTACGCATTTTCTACTAACTTTCATTATGCCGAAAAACCTTTGAATCCCTTTCCAGGTCCCACCAAGCCTTATCCCGTGGCGAAGTGGTTAGCACGCCAGCCTCCCAGGCAAAGGGCCAAGGGTTCGAACCCCGGCGGCGGCAAATTGTTTGCGTTTTGGTTTTTGGCATAGTTTCCAGTTTGGTAGGCCGAAAAACGCTAGAACACACACCTGCAGTTCCGGGGTGGGGTGGTTTTTTGGGCCATTTACCCCGGGGGGTTTTTACCTTTTTTGCCGGGGATTCAACCGTGGCGGCGGGCTTTGGCCGGTTCTGCCCTTTCCTCCCATTCAATGATATATCAATGGTATTGGGGCGGAAAATACCGGGGGAGTGGCCATAGGAAGGTACCGGAATTGTTGGTTGAAATTGGCAGGAAAATGTCATGCCTTGAAGGATTTTGGCACTGGTGCGGTCCTTTAATTCGCTATAGTATACCGTAAAAATTATACTATTTAATAGAAAGGTAAATAGATAAGTAACGAAAGATATTGGAATTTTGGCTGGAATTGGCAAGAAAATTTTCGCGGTTTTTAATAGATTACAGTGCGTAATATATTTTAAAACAGTCTGGTTAAATTCGGAGTGCAAGATATTATATATTTATGGCGATTTTTAATTGATTTAAGGTATCGTACCAGAATTTTTTTGGCTGAATTCGCAAGAAAATCTCATTTAAACGATTTTTAAGCGATTTAAAGTATCGCAATATACTTAAAAATACAAATACAAAAATGTCACTAACATTCACCTTCTTATATTAAGGTATCTGGAGAGCTCGAGGCTAGGAAGTGGATTAGACTCTGAGCCCAAGAGTCGTTAGCCCGGCTGGGGGGCAAGGCAATGGTATTGTCGCGGAATGGGGTGTAACCTGCCAGCCAATTCCCACCAAAATGGGGGCTACCTGGAAATTGGAAACATACAAAAGAGTTTTCGCTATAAAATTGAAAATTACGAGCACAGAGCAGACGAGCAGAGGTTATTTGGGAAATTACAGAGTGGTGATCATTTATTCCGTATTTTTCCGGAAGAATTCTGCTGGCTTCCCTGATCCGGTCGGGTCCAGGCACGCCTGATAATTCAAACCTTTTTGTAGCAGAGATACAGATACCTTTCGCATTAACGGGGGGGGGGTGGCTAGCTAGCAGTGACCATTTAGGAAACCTTGTTGTTTCCTGTGGTTTCTGGCTGACCGCCTAGGGCGAACAAGCAAAGATTCTTTAAGAAAATTGAGATATAGGACGAGCTGGCAGAGGCAGGCTAGCAGAGACCAATTAGGAATTCTTTTTCGGCAGCAGGACAAACTATCAGAGGATCTTTCTGAAAACCTGCAAATCGGGGCCGGCTAGCAGAGACGATTTAGGAATGGTTGGATAGCAGAGACAATTTTGCGGCATTTGTTTTTATTGCGGACCGGAGGTGGAGCAATTCTGGTCAAAGAAGACAACCCTAGGCAACTAAGCATGGACCATTAAGGAATAACAAACGAGCAAAAGCGAGAGCAGATTCTTGACGGTTTTAGGAAGCAGAAAATCGCTCGCTTCAACGCCCTACTAAAATCACAAAGCCCCGGATCAGCCCGGCGCCTCAAAAGGGTGTGAAGAAGATGGATATTTGGAAGGGGGGGCCGGGTGGATGGGTGAGTCTTCCCCTGGATTTACATCGTCTTCTGTCTATTGGCGGTGGCGGACGATTTGCATGCCATTCTGACAATTCTCCCGCGAAAAGGGATAGCCTAGAGGGGGCCAAAGCAAGATTGCGCCTATTTACCTTTAAGGAAGGCTTTAGTACGCTTTATATCGTAGTATGCTCGGCGGAAAATGGGGTACGGTAGTTTTTTTCTCACTCATGCTCACTCATGCTTTCCTTCTCGCTCTGTTTCTCGACATGTCTCTCAAGTGTTCTCTATCCTATCTCTCTCTCTCTCTCTCTCTCTCTCTCTCTCTCTCTCTTTCCTCTTCTTGTTCCTCCGCCGGACTCTCGTGTTTCTCTGAGCTGTCCCCCGTGTTTTTTCTGGCTTGTCTCCTCTCTCTCTGGTTCTGTCCTAGTCTCTCTGTGCCTGTCCCTCTCTCCTGTCTCTCGTTCTCTCCTCGGCAATGCAACACCTTGGAAGAGTCTCGCCCTCCTCAACTCGACCTCGAGATGCTTTTTGTTTTGGATCAGTTTCACCCGTCCAATCTATCTACCGAGAAAGAGAGAGCGCGGGCTAGAGCGTGAGAGAGGGAGAGAACTGTCATCTGAAAAAGTGAGCGGATCGTCGCGGAACCACTAGCAACATGCAACTGAACGAAAGTGGCCA